ATAAACATGGGGAAAAAAAAAAAGAAAAAAAAATCACGGGATATCAAAACAATGCCCTGATCAGTTTTCACAGAACCTAGCTCCCTGGACTGTCAGTCAAATAAATTCAAAAAAGAAGATTCTGAAATTCAAAGAAATTTCTCCATGCAACTTTGGCAAAAAGTCACATGACAGATTATCAGAAGTTGTCAGTATAAACAAACAATGCTCTTCTCCCATCACATTTCTTCAGAATCCCTGAACACCGTGTCATTGACTTGTAAGGACCCCAAAACGGACCAGCCACTTATGCAGTTCGGCAGAAATTGTATATGATAAAGGTGTTTCTAAGTTATATGTTATGTGCTGTGTTTTTTCAGACATTTCAGTTCACAAACACTGCTGCTTTTCTAGACCTTGAGAAGATCTACTAACATGGCATCTACTGTGCATCACATGTACTTTTTTTTTTTTTTTTACACAGGATAACTACAACCAGATACAGTCATGCTTTCAGATACTCTCTTTGTGAGGGAAGTATTTTCCACTGCATGCACACAAAGCAAAATTCAGGGGGAAGTCAGGCTTTTAGCTAAGAAAAGATTTAAGTACTACCCTCAAGCAAAATAAGCGTCAGCAGGAGTTCTGACCACGTACCTGTAAAGAATATTTGGATCCATGTTATTCATAACAAAGACAAATACCTTCTGCATAAGCTCTGTAAACTAGCATAAAATTGGTGGCTTATTTTGAAAGCTTATTATAGCTTATTATGAAGTTTTGAAGTTTATTATATTGTAGTTTATTATGAAGTTTTGTCAAATTCAGATGACTAAAGTAAGGTAAGGTGCTCTTTTTAAGATTGTAAAATAGACCGTATAAGACTGTCCTAGCCCATTCAAACGAAAAAAAGAAAAAATCAAGCTATCTTTCCCTGTTAAAATAAGAGATTTTTTACAACAGTTTAATCAGTTTACCTGGCTTTGGAGTTGCCTGAGACCAGAGCGCCTGGTGGGTTCTAAACATCCGCAAGCATGGCACTTTTGCTGAATGCACCTTAGGTGGTAAGACATTGCCGAAAACAGGAGTGGAGCACCCACTAACAGCAAAGCGCAGGAGGCTCGTCATTTCGCCCAGACCTCCCGGCAGACTCCTTGCCACGTATGGAATCCCTGCTGCGCGTGTGGAAACAGAGCGACACCAGTTACTGATGATAACAGGCAGCAGGTATGTAAACTGGGCAGCCTGAGCCCCTGCGGCTGCCACCAGCCAGGCGCGGGTGCTTTTTCCATATCTCCTCGCCGCAGCCAAAGGACAAAGCCCGTTGTTTGTCAGAGCGGGGCGGCCGGGCACAGCTAGGAAATTAAACAAAGAGGAGGGCACCCAGGGCTCCCCAGGAGCAGCCCCAGCACCCCGCAGCTCCCCGGGGGGCGACCCAGGGCCCTGACAGGGCTCCCGCAGGGGGTCGGTGAGGGCGCCCCGGGGCCAGCGGGGGAAGAGGGCTCCTCGCCCGCCTGTGCGGGGGGAAGGAGGCAGCAGGGCAAAGCGACGAGGCACGGCCCGGGGCTGGCAAGGCACCGTCCCCGCTATTTATAGCCCGCCGCCCCGCTGACCTTGGGCAGGCCGCTCGCCCCCCGCCGCCACCACAGCGCCCGGCGGCCATGGCGCCCGGCCGAGCCGCGCCGCCTTCCCCTTCCCCTTCCTTCCCCTTCCTCTCCCCGAGCCCCTCAGCCAGGACCGGCCGCCGCCGCCGTCCTCCCTTCCTCCCCTTCCCTCCCCGTCCTGTCCTTTCTTTCCTTTCCCTTCCTTTCCCTCCCCGGCAGCCGCTCCGCCACCGCCCCCCCCCCCCCTCACCACAACGCGGCTCCCCACGGCGCGGGGCCGGCTCCCCGCTCTGCGCCCCGAGCCCCCCTTATCCCCGCTGCGGCTCCGTCCCGGCCCCGGCCCCGCCGCACCCACCGGCTGTGCCGCCGGCGCCGGCCCCGCCGCGGCACTGACCGACCTTGGGGCGAGGCGAGGCGGCGGGGCCGGGACGGGGGCGGAGCGGGGAGGGGGCGGGAGGGGGACGGGGAAGGCGGGGGGGGGGTCCCGGCCGCCGCCGCCGCCGCCGCCATGGCGGAAGGGGCGGCCCCCTGTGAGGGGAGGGTTGGCGGCCGGGGGTGCGAGGGGAGAGCGGGGAAGGGGAGGCCCTCGGTGAGGTGAATCGGGGAAAAAGGACCCCGGAGCGTGGTGCTCGGGTGCTGGTGCGGGGGCTGTTGGTGTAATTTGTAACTGCAAGGTGCGGGATTAGCGCTGGGGCTGATTTACGGCTGCTGGCAGAGCGCTCCCCTCAGGCCGTCCCCTGGTGCCAGGCGGTGAATTACGGCTGGAAGTGAAGCGAGGCCAGGAGAGCGTGAGGCTCCCGGGGTGGAGAGGAGGATGCCGAGCGCTGGTTGTTCGGGAGACAGCCGCTTTTAAAGGCGTTTGTGAGGAGGATTCGGCTCGGAGCTCTGCCCGCGGGCTGCTGGGTCCTCGGTGTTTGAGGCTCGGAAACCTGGGGCAGCAACATACCTCAGTAATATAAACATATTAAATAAAAATTAAATGTATCGATGTAAATTATAAATGTATTGATATAAAATAAACATATTAATACAAATTATATTAATCTTAAATATATTAGTATTAGTTTAATATATTTAATATTAAATGTATTAATATTAGTTAAATACATTGATGTGAATACAAAGCAAACACTGTATTTCGAATTATTAGAGCACATTTAGTTTTAAAACACAGCAGCAGTCTCTCCTCCCTTCTTCTCCCCAGGTAGAAACATGTTGTCACCCCTAAAAAAAAATGCTTGTGTTCCGAATAGTGATGAAGTTGCATTTTGTGGTTTCCCAGCACCAAGCACTGCAGGTCTGTGCAGGATTGCTTCTGAATTAAGTTTCAGGCTGTTAGGTAACGTGCTTAGGACAAAGCAGGTAACTCCTCTGATGGATATTTATAAGCCACCATAGCTGCACTTGTTGAAAGTTTTAATCCAGTAGGATATACCTTGCTAATTTAGATATGCCAGATTTTCAGATTGTTCTCAATAGCTGAAGTAACCAACAGGACTTCAGTTACTCAGGCCTGAATGTTGTAAGGAGAATTTTAGGCATTGTCTAAAGGGGTTGACTACTGCAGGTAATATTTGGGAATTGTGATTTTTGGACTTAACCACCTGAAAATAGTTTTTGGTTTTTTTTTTTTTTTTTTTTGATGTCTACTTTAGGAAGGAGAAATTAGTCTCCCAGTCAAACACAACTATTCTTGTGCAAACTTCAGTTGCGCATCTGTAGTAACAAGATGGATCTGGGATCACATTCCACTCTACACCGTAAGTAGTTGCCAAACAATCACTATATTAAAATAACATGGAGGGTTTGCTCATTAGAAAGAACTCACATTTATGACCAAAGATGAAATTGTCTGGCATAATAACGATAACCTGAGGCATTTAATTCATTATAGGTATATACACTGAAAAAGATATATGCTTTTTTGAAAAATTAATGTCTCAAAAAGTGGTCACAGGATGTCCTGATGATTTTCTTAGAGCGTCTGCATCTTTAACCAATGATTGAGAATCTCTGCTTCCTTTTTCGTGTTGATGTAAGCTTTTCATTCTCCTCATGGTAAGATAAGGTTTATAAATGCAACCAGAGGTCACAATATAGACTTTAAAACCAGGACTGAAATAATAATATGTATATATTAATTTTGTTATTTTAATATATATATAATATATATATATAATTTTGTTAATTTTAATATATATATATTGATTTTGTTATTTTAGCAGCTACATTGTGATCTTCAAAGGTTTGATAATACTGCTCAAATTTAGTTTTAATAATTGCTTACACAAGTGAAGTCTTTTACTTTTCTGAAAACTCATTAGTCTCCTATATTTCCTCTCATTTCAGTCGTGTAGTTTAGATTATTTAGTTTACCAGTCTTCACTTTCAGCAGTAGCTGCGTAGGAACAGTTTTCCCATGAGCCCAATTAATTCTAACTGTGTCACCTTTATAATCTGGCCAACTTTGTCTTACTAAGAGTCAGTCCATTACATGCCACAGGAATATAAAAAATCTGCACTAAATTTTGTATTCTACAGCCTTTATTAGTAATTTTAGAATAGTAAAACGTAAAACTTTGTAAATGTTTTTCCTGCTTATTATTACAATAGTCATATTTTCAAAAAAAAATATATAGGACTGTTCCAATTTCATACAGCATTTCATACACGCTTGCCTATTTTTCATCCTCTCATGAGTCATCAGCGGAGTTTGAGCCAACAACACACAAGCGTTTGGCTTGGGCTTTGGAAATAACAGGTGGAAAGGTCGGCACAGGCCAGGCTGTTCTGGGAGACAAACCGCAAATATCACCGGCTCGGTCAGCTGAGGTGGAGCTCAGCTGAGTGTGGAAGCAGGTCGGGCTCTGGCTTTCGCAAAGCAAGGAGAGCAGGACTCTGCCAGAACAAAAAACGGCGAATTGAGTTGCCAGTGGAGGTGTGAGTTGAATCATTTTGAGGTGATTAGCAAAATGGGCAGTCTCCTATAGTAGGTTTATGTTAGTGGAGGGCTTTAGAAGTTGTATGCGAGCATTTAACGAGAAACCTCGTGTATAGATTGCGCGTGAAAATACATTATCACTGGAAAATATGTTATCACTGATAACGTATGTTTTAACACGGTTGGTGTTAAAAAAAAATGCAGTAGCATTGTCTCGTGGGAGGCTTAGCCGTGGGATTACACTTACACCGCGGCTCAGCCCGCAGTTTGTGCCCCTTTTTTTTTGTTTTGTTTTGGTTTTTTTTTGGGGGGGGCGCCGGCCCCGCACCGCACCTGAGGCAGCGGGCGGCGCTGCGGGGCCGGGCCGAGGCGGGGCGAGGCCGCGGCGGCGTTGCCATGGCGACGGGCGGGCGGGCGGCCGGCAGGGGGCGCTGCGTGCAGGGCTCAAACTGAAAGTGGAGGCTGGGGCCGCGGCCAGGCGGGACCCGGCCGCCTCCTCCCTCCCTCCTTCACTCCCTCCCTCCCTCCCTTCTTCCCTGCCTCCCTCCCGGGCTCGCTGCCTCCCGGCCTCCCTCCCGCGACCGCTCGGAGCCGCCCCGGCCCCAGCATGGCGGAGCACTTCGACCGCACTCCCGGCGCCGGCCGGGATCGGGGCCGTGGAGGCGCGGCGGACGGCGGCGGAGGCGGCGCGGCCTGCCCGGGGGGCGACGGCTCCCCCGGCTCGGAGGCGGCCGAGGCGCTGCCGACCAAAGCGGGCGGCCCCCCGCAGCAGGAGGGCCTGCGGCCTCCCAAGACGGCAGCGCCGGGCAGCGGTGGCGCAGGTAAGGCAGGTAGGCCCCCCGCTGCCCCCCTACCCCCACCCCGCCCGGCCGCTGCCCCCCTGGGCTCCGGGGGCGGTGGTCGTGTGTGTACCTGCGGCTTCCCCTTCCCCTTCTCCTTCCCTCCCGGTGCGTTTTGTCCGTGTGGTAATCCGGCCGCGGCTGGGCCCAGCCCTCCCCGTGCTGGAGATCCCCTGGCTCCGGCCTAGAGGGTTGCCAGCGCGTAAACACAAGCCTGCGGTAGCGCAGAGCCCTGTTTGTCGGCCGCCTTTTATTATATATATATATATATATTTTTTTTTTTTCGGGTACGTGTCGGGGTCCCTTTTTCGATAAACAATCGAGCTAATCTGTAAAGGCTGTAATCTGTCTTTAGAAAATGTGCAAAACGTGGTTTAAAAACACGGTTTCATTGATTATTTTTTTTTTTGGCAAATCACGCACTAGATGGACAATAGCTAGGTGTCTTTGGGGAGTGTGTTAAAATTAGTGGTGCCTGCTATTTATTGACCTTTAAAATCTTGCTTTTGCATTTAAAATTATGAAAAACCCTCAAGAAAAACAAGCAAGGAAACCATTGATTTACTGCTCGGGTTAGCTCACTTAAAAAATGTGTTGGGGGGCGGTCTCTCTTTCTCCTCTTTCTCTCCTCCTTTCTCTCCTCTGTTCCTTTCTCTTCTCTTTCTCTCTTCCATCACTTCCATATGAACATTTGTTCACTTTCTGTAATGTGGAAAGGCATCTAGAGTTTCCAAAAGCCAAAACTATTAATGTTTTAGATAATCAGCTAAAATGGCGTCTAAATAATAATACAAGGTATGTTTGAAATTATAGACTGTGATTAATGTTAAAAAAATACGTATTCCTTGTGTGCTCTGTGAGAATGCATGCCAACTAAACAATGTCTAAGAAAGGCTGTTAATAAACACTTTTCAGAACACCTGCAACAAACAAGAATTCCATTTGAATCACAAGATAAAGCTTCAGTTCCTGATTCTGGACCAGAAATGGCTAAACCTCAGGTGGCTGTGGCTCCTGTGGTAGTATCAAAGCTGTCGGTTAAAGCACCTGAGTTTTATCCATCAGGATACAACATGAACTTTACTCAGAACTTTGTGGTAAGTATTCATCTTTTCTTCTTAGTGTATTTTAATTTACTTATTTTCAATTTAACATTTTTTTCTCGAGATATTACCTAAGAAATCCAAAAGATTCAGATAATAACCTCTAGACATAAAGCTGGAATATTAATTGACAGTGGGGTGAATATTATGGTGACTCTGAGAGCCTTTAGTGTGGGAAGTTTTGCTCACTACAGATAACCACATTCCTTGCTGATTACTCCAAGCGTTGACTTCACCAACATCTGAATAAGCAATCTTCTTGGAGACTGACTCTGTTGCATTTACATCTACAGTGCATTTTAAGTAAAGGCTTAGCTGCATTTTTGTGCTGATTTCTCAGGATTTTGAAGTACGTGTGGGAAGAGAAGCTTTAACTTAAGCTTTTGCAAATATGCTTCCACTTCTACAAATAGAATCAAATGATAATAAATAATTACACTGAAACAACTAGATTTTGAGTAACTAACACAAAAATAATTGATTTGAATCTTAAGTATAGTGTTTGGTTTTTTATTTTTTTTTCCTCCTTGCCAGCAAAATCATATTATCTGATGTTAACAGCTTTGCCAGCCCGCTGAATAAAATTACTGTCCTGGATAATACAAGTCCATGCCCGTATACAACTGTAAAAAAAAAAAAAAAAAGCCAACATGAACATGCTTCGTGTTGAATGAATAATTATTACATTGCCCCAGTACATTACATGTTCTCTGTAAGTACTGGGTTTCAGTTTCAAGATTAAAAAATGCCATCTAGAATGGTATACATTTGCATGTGTGTAATCACAAGCTCCAGAGGCCAGCAATGAATGTTGCTTTTCAGGTGCTTTGCAAAAACACACAAGCATGTGGGAGCTCCTCGTTGCTATGTTGTAAGAATATATTATGAATATGTGTGACTCAACTATTAATAAAAATAACTCTAAAGTGCGAGCAAAACTTAGGCTTTTATTTGGATGTATTTGGTATATTGCAGGGACCTTAATTTAATCAGTGTATACTGGGCATGGAATAGTGATGTCTTTGACCGCCAGTTTTAAATTGGAATCAAAACACGTTACAAGAAACTTCTGTTTCTTCAACTTTGTATTTCTTAGCTTTCACTTGTTATGTTCCCTGGAATTTTTAAATGCAAAAGCTCACATTTTTCTTACAAAATACACAGTGATTTTGTTATTCATCAAACACTTATTTTTTAAATAATAATTCATTAATTCCTTGTGTGATGATAGTGCATTATTGTAATTACTATATGTGTCCATATAATATTCAGTTCATCTCCAGTTAGGTCATACTCAAAACTGTCAATTGCTATTCAAGATGCTCCAAGACCTGTTAGAAATTTCAGGAAATTCTGAAGAATTCTGAAGAATTTCCTGTAGAATGTAGAATTCCTGTGGAATTCTCTGTATACAGCTGTCAGTAGCATAGGAAGATCTGGACGTCTGCAGTAGAATTGGTGACTGGATTCAGGTTTGGATTGCCAGTAGGAAATGTCAGACTTGTTCTTTGAACAGGGTATATGAAAACAATACATCCTTCCATCCGTCAGAAGGGCATAATGTCCACATGTCATAGTTCCAGTAGTAAAATTTTTGTTCCCTTGGTTGGAAGCTTTTTTTTTTTTTTACCCTTATTCTTCTACTTCAAATAATTTCCAGTTAGAGGCTGAGCAGCCTCAGTGGCTGGTTTATTCATTTAGCCAAGCCTAAGAGCGTCACTTAACCTCATACATTAACTAAAATATGCAGCCTCGTACATACAGCATTCTTTGTACTTAGTTTTTCAACATCATTGTAAACTTGATGAGAATATATAATCTGAAGCAGGAAAAGCTTGTTCCTAAGAAGTCTGAAGAGAAACCAAATCAATGATACCTTATTGGTAACTAAGTTCGTAAGTGGGAACATTTTGAGTACTTCTCAGGTATAAGACAGTGTTATTTGGCACAGTAGCTGAAACAGCCTGAGAGCAGCTCATGAATCTTTTCTATATACTTTCTGATTTTTTCTTTTATGTAAACCAGACAGTACTACTTATTTAGCCTGTCCATTCTTATGGCTTTAAATTCATGAACTGACTCTTAGTAGAAAAGAGACAAACCAACAACTTTCAAGTTAGTGTCTCTTTCTTTTTTGTTGTGCGTAATCCAGGGTCTAGTCCTATAGCTATCAAACATAAAAGAGAGGGATTAGGCAGTGTTGGCCTGCTGAGAAATCATTGAAATTAATGGAAAATTTCTAGTTGACTTTCATGGCTTTGAATCATAAATTTGTAATGAATGTGTAAACTTAGAGCTTTTTGTTCGCTAACTACTGTTTAAAAATAACCAGGAGGAATTTGCTTTGTTTTCCATTAGTTAGTACAGTACGTGGTGCTGTATTTTCTGTTAAATCTTAAAATCTGACGATGAGAAATGTAAGTGACTTATTTCTAGAAGTTACTGAACTAAATCTAGTTTTTAAAGTATGGAACATTAGTAATTTAGCAGTATACAACATAAATTAACATTTTAATTACTTGTTTTTCCTTCAGTTTATTCTGTTCCCAGCATAGTTACTGAAATTTGGGCTGTCTTTGGAATTGTGTATTTAATATAAGTAGATGAATGTGGTGTTGAGTTTAGCATCTTAAATTCAGAATGCGAGAAGGAACATGAATACAGGGACACCAATTTACCCTTTCCAAAACAAGGACATTCTTTTCTGAGACTAAATTCTTTACAGTGAGGATGAGAAGATACTTTCTCTGCTGAACGAGAGTGTATTACCAACCTGGTGGATGTCAGAACAAGCAGATGCTTTTTCCAGCTACAGCAATTACTATTCCTGCAACCTGGCTGCAGAATTTCAAAACAGCTTGTTTGCAGAGTAGGTAGTTTGGCTGTAGGTGACTAAGCTGCACTAATTAGACAATAATGTCATGTTCATGTGGGACAAAATAGTTTTACTTTGTACAGTACTTTTTTCCGGGCTGTTTGATTTCTTTTAGAGGAACAGAATACTAGCAAGTTATAAAGAGGCCTATTAGCCTCTTTATTAACTCTATTAACTCCCTGGTTCCTTAAGCACCAAACGACTAGAGTTATAAAATACTCAAGGTTGGAAAGGTTCTCCCAAGTTCATCTAGACCAATTGCCAGCTTAAAGCAAAGCAAACTTGTGTCAAGTTGTTCAAGACTTTATCCTCATGTATAGTAACAACTAGCCACCCTTTCCTTAAAAACGTTTTTATACTGTTTCTGGTGTGCAATTTTAAGTAACATTGTCTTCAGTGTCATCCATTGGTCAAATACTCTACTGAGTAAAACATCACAAGAACATCTTTCTAGTTTCTCTTCTGTTATTTTCACATGTGCCTCATTAGTTTAAGTTGCATGCCCTTATGACATGGGGTCTCTGAGTAATTTTGAAAATTATGCACTTTTCCCCACACGTTCCTCACAGGTCCTGAAATTAATGTCAGTACTTGATTTTTAGCAATATGTGTCTGTATTTCTCCACAGTTCGTGTATAGGGCTTTGATCTTTTGCAGGTCCACATTGCTTTTCAGTCTCTCCTCTACTGTGGCATTTTGAAGCCAGAAAGTAAAGGGCATCTGCTCACTAAGGGGGGTGGGGAGAAAGAGAATAGAATGATAAACATAATATATGCAAGTCCACTAAAGAAAGGAAGTCTTACTGCTTTACCTCAAAGTTTCATTATAGTGTATATATTTTAAATTCTTTTCTTGTTAAATAGCAAGCAGTTGAGAACACTGATATCCTGACTGTTACCCTCATGTCTTGAATCAGGCTCCTGCTTGGACATCTGAAATGTCATATGAGATGCTCACAATCCCTTGGGTAGTGTGACAAAGTGAATTATTTGTGTGTGTTATTGCTAGTTATGTCACAAAGTATGTTGCTTCCTATGCTATTCCTCTCATGTACTTGCACTGTAATCATCCTAGAACAGTACTGAACTTTAGTGTTACATGCATTCACTTTTGAATGGGCAAAATTAGCTGTCTTTTCTTCCATCACTGGGAGCATAAACACTGATAAAGTGCTATTGTGTTACCTGTTCCCTAAAGAAAGGGGAGGGCTATGTTTACTGTCTGCACTTTAACCTCAATATCTGTGAATCAATGCAATACCACTGAAATAATGTTATTTCATGTCATGTAATCTTTCATCCATTGCTAAAAGATATGCTTTGATAACTTCAGAAGATCAGTTTTCCTGACTTAATTTTGTGCATGGGAATACTATACTCTATTTGTTATATTTCTGTAATTTCTTTCCCTCCTGCATATTTTGGAGCACTTTAGCACTTTCTGTAAGTGCAAAACATTTTGTTTCCTATTTCAATTTTTTTCCTTCTACGATTCGTTTATCTACAGCCCAGTGTGTGTGCGTATGAAGTGTTTTTAATCTCAGTTGAATGGTTCTATTCATAACAGGTATACATGTACTTACTCATGAGTTTGTTAGTTAATCTTACACTCTGACAAACTGTTTAATTCTTATTTTTAAAAATATCTATATAATTGTCTGGGAGACCCTAATCTCTGTAAAAGTTTGTGACTTAGTTCTTAAGTTGACAGGACTACAGCAGCTTTTTGATGCATTGAAGTTTATGCTCTCTAAAAATGTCTTTGTGAACCATGTACTAAAGACCACTGTGAAGCATGCATGCAAAACATCAGGAGTTATTCCTATCTAAGAACTGTATGGTTACTTCTGGAGCTGGTAAGCATAACAACTTCATTGTAGGTTCTTAAATGTTGGTATGCTTCTTCACTGTTGTAGGATTCTTCCTATGAAGATGGATATGATGGCTATCTGACTTTGGCAGAATATGTACAAGACTTCCTAAACCAACTCACTGAGCAGCCAGGTTGTTTTGAAACTGAAATAGAACAGTTTGCTGAATCACTGAATGGCTGGGTTACTACTGATGAAGCTTTGCAAGAACTTGTTGAGCTCATCTATCAGCAGGTAGCCTATGTATTCTGTCTTATACCATGGATAGCGTAACTCTTGTTACCTAGTGTCCAAGAATAGGCATGGTATTATTAGTTGTTATATAATTGTATCTATATAGCATTTAGTAGCATAATATACATGTAATATAGCATTTATAGCATATATGTAACATAGCATTTGTAGCATAATGGTGTGAGTTGTCTTTCTCTTTAGGCTGAAACATATAGCAAAAGATTATGCTGGAGAGATTGAAATGGTAGCTCAATTGTGGGAAGTTTGCCTCATTGACAAGTTTCACCAGTTATCTCAGTTGCCTTTGCTGTGTATTTGAATCTCCCAGGTCATATAGTAGGATTGAAACTGTAGCACTTAATTTAAAGAGTTATACTTGAATTGCTGTGTTTATGTAGTACAGATAGAAAGATGACTCTTAAGCCATGTCCAAGTTCCATGTTTCTGTTTTTTTCCTACAAAAAGTATTCTTCATAATGCTTAGATGGCTTTTACTCCTTGACGTTTAAAAAACATAGCTAGATACCTATTGTACACATCTCCCTTCAGGAAATGTTTCTTCACTGACAGGCTTTGTTCTTCTTTGCTGGTCTGATGGTAACTGGGTCCAGTCCCATTGATGGCCAGAAAAATTAGGACAGAGACCTTAAACTGAACTCTGTACTAATTGGGGGAGCCGCTGGAAAGAACAGCTTAATCTGTGTTGCTAAGCAAATGAGCTGCTGTTTCTGTCTTTTGGGCTTGCTGCACAGAACAAAGTCACACTTGCACTTGCTATTTATTACACTGGATGTTGTCACTTTCCTGGGTTGGTTGCTTTCAAACTCTTCCTTGAAGGATATGAACAGCTCTTTTATTCACCTTTTAAGTGCAGGTACTTGCTGAACTTTTTTTTTTATTTTATTGTGGAAATAATCTGGGGTATGTAGAAGCAGCATGACTGTCTGGTTGGTTATCATACAGGACTGTAGAGTCTTCAGTTTCTTATATCATACAGCTGCCAAACCTGTACTGTGTCTGGCAGCATCATTTTCCCTATATTTGGATACATGGAGGGTAGTGATAAAAGACTACAGCATTCAGTATAACTTTACTGAAAGAAAAAACAGGAATTTATCCTACTTACAAATTTTTGTATGCATTAAATAAATTGACTCAACATTTAATGCAAATCTTTAATGTTACCTCTTCCTCTCTCTCCCTGTTTAAAACAGGTCCAGTGTTGGGGTTGGCTGTACCTTCCTTAACTGAGAAGCACTAAGTGTAAACAATCTGAAATACAACAGTTTATGTGGAAAGTGAAACGCAGCTCAATATTAAAAAAAAAAAAAAAAAAAAAAGCTGTCCTAGTATCCAAAACATAAGATTTTATTTTTTTTAGGAGGTGATAGCATTTGAATGTCAGTCAAGTCTGCTTTATTATTTTTCTGTCTTAAGCTTCTGCTCAGGTATTTGTGTTTCTTACTCCTGGCTTATCATAAAACTTTAATTGCAGTAGGAACGGTGTGTTTTTAAGCATCTGCCTTAGTGATATTAATTTAACCTAGTTATGTAGATTTACAGATGCTAGACTTGTGAAGGAAAAATGTTAAAGTGAAAGAAAAAAAAAACTGTGCAGTCTTCCCTTTTTTTGGGTGCCAGGTATCTCAAGCTGTCTATAAAGAGTAACCATCTACTTCCCCCATTCTTCCTAATCCTTTTATGTATTTATTTTTCCTTGTCATGATTTTGAATTCTTTCTCTGGGCATCCACTACTGCCAAACATAGATTCTAGTATAGATAGCGCTCAAACTGAATGAACATGGGTTTTTTGTTTATTTTATTTTAATCACTTACTGCTCTTTGAGAGAGAGTGTGTCCTTGAAAAAGCATCTTAATGTCCTCAATTGACTTCTGTATAAACAACTTGTAAGTGACTTTCAGACACTCTTTGGTATAAGCTGCAATGGAGTAGAGTTGAGGACACGTGGTGTAATGGCAGTTGTTTTCTTAAAGCCACATTATCGCAGTAATACACTTTTGTGTGCCGAAATGCATGTAGCAAAGTGTTCATGAGATATGAAAGTTAACATGAAAAACAGTAGTTATTAACCTTCTACTCCTCAGTGATCTAGTCAACTGCTGTTAAACACCATTTTCTAAAATGCTTTTTAATACATTTCCCGATAACCTAATCATTACTTGTACAAATAATTTATTATTTTCACTTTTATTTCGGAAGGCAACGTCTGTCCCAAATTTTTCCTACATGGGAGCACGGTTGTGTAACTACCTATCTCACCATCTAACGATTAGTCCGCAAAGTGGGAACTTCCGACAGTTATTACTTCAAAGGTCAGTATCTGCATGTCACTTTAAACGTATTACTTTCTGAGGTTTCCTGTCTTCCTCTTTTGTGTATAACTCTTAAATTACATAGCATAGAAGAAGTACATATTTAGAATAGAAGTTTATATTTAGGGTTATTAAATCCTCAGGTACATACTGCATATGGAATACATACATATATTTATTTTTTTAATATGAAAATAATGCTCAGTTCAGGTTCTGTAGTCTCTTCTGAACTCAGTATGTTAGGCTGATACCAAATTACAAGGTACATTTCAAAGCTAGTCAACTTCAAAAGTATCCTAAATGTACATATATCTTTGTCCTTTGACTCATGCTACATTTCATTATTCTGTGTTTTTTTTTCTTTAATTACTTTTCTGGCTGGAGATCCAGAGGGAAGTTCATTAGATCAGCTAAGTGACTTCACACATGTGAAATAGATACATAAAAAGCAGGAGGATAAACTTCCACAGATTTTAGAATTTTGAGGTCTTGCAGTTTAATGATTAAGGCTTCATAGATGATAAAAAATACAGTGTTTTTTAAATATATATATTTCCTTTTAAATCTTACTGCATTACATTTGAAGGAGTAGTACAGTTTTACTTCAGGAGTCTTTACAAATTATCCTTTTACCTTTAAGGACTTCTGGCTTTATAAGCTTCAGATTTACTTTTAAAGATTCACTTAGTCCATATATGTTTAGGAAAAAAACATAAGTTGAAAAGGTGATTCAAATGAATTTGTTAATCATGAACAGAACTCTACAGAGAAGCTGAAAATACTTATTTTTTAACTTGTTCCAAAGCAGATGAGCCTTTTCTACCTCCAAACGACAGTACAAATTATCACTTTTTATCTTGTCATGTTATCTACACTTCTTATTTGAAAAACAGCATGAAGGAAATCCCTGCTAATATTGGATTACCCGATTCCTGATTTTAAAGCCAATCCAATAGATAATGTTCTAGCACCCTGAAGCTGTAATATTAAGGTAGTTTGTTTTGCTGCTAATATGGATGGAATTGGGGTGTGGATAAAAAGGCCAACCATAAGAATACTGAAAACTACTCTTTCTTTCTAAGCCCACATCTTTACTTAAAATTTGGTATTTCAACTCCTTATATTTTTCAGTTTCCTAGATACTTATTAATCTGTTGCGTAAGCATTGAGAATAAATGGGAGATTGTCTTGTTCTCCTTTTGTTTTTGAACTGATATGCAAACCTGCATATTTTTGACACCATTGTTGAAGACTGAAAATACTACATAATTATCCTGTTATCTTAAACTATATTATTAAATGTGTTCAATTTTTTTAAAATGCTGGTTTGTAACTAAATAATGCACAGCTGTTGCTTAAAATTGCTGGATAAAGAATTTATCACATAAGTGTAAAGGCATCTGTGGCAATGTGGGAAGCACCTTGAAAAAGGAAAATATCATTTATGACTTTATTTCTGTTGACATTTAGCTGCCTTTGTTAAGCTTATTGCACCCATGTTATACTATGTGTATTTTTACATCTCAGATATCTCAGTGTTTGAAAACACAATCTTGTAATCATACTTATTCACCTAGTGCATCCACAGTCTTGTAAAGCCCTCTCATTTCCTTCACAAATCATACTTCCCAGAATTTAGCATTTAACCATTTTAATACAGTTCATAAGTTCTTAGCATTCTACTAAATAAGTAGCACGTTGTATGTGTTGGGATGTCAACAGATGATAACAATACAATTTTGTTTCAATTTTTCAGGTGTCGAACAGAGTTTGAAAACAGAGATGAAGCCGCAAAAGGAGATGAGGATACTCGAAAACAATTTCATGCCTTTGTGCTGTTCTTAGCTGAACTTTATCTTAACCTAGAGGTAAGAAAAAAGTTGTGTGTCAAATGGTTCTTTGTTAATTTTTTGTTGTGTTTAACTAAATGCTGAAATGGAGTATCATTTGAGGCGTTGCTTTTTTAATGTAGAGGTGAATAAGTCAAAGACCTTGAGGAAAATTTTAATTATAGCTGTGCATCAAAGAAACAAATAAGCAAAAGTAGACAAGATCATTAAAAGAGAAATGTAAAAAGATATTCTTAAAAAATTATAAGAATTCCCTAAATGAACCAACCGTAAACCACCTTTTCCAAAATTTGTGTCTGGTCACATATTTTCTCTGTTGGAAAAATTGGAATGATGTTTTTAGTATTTTCTTTTGGCTTGCAAAACCATTGGATTACTTCACTTAACCAATGTAAGAAATGTTACAACTTGCAGAAGCAGATCGAAATCAATAAGCCATGTAATTCAATATTTAGCCACTAACCAGAGCTATTATAAAATACTTGAGGAAGGTGTGGGAATCTTTAAGATGAGCAATTAAAAATTGAGACCTTTAATGGGATTTCTTCTTAAAATTGAGTCTGGCTCATGCATGAAGCATGTAATCTTGTATTAGGATCAGGTTTTTGTATCTATGATGTATGTGTACACATTTTTTATACATCAAAAAAAAATCGTACCTGTGAGTTCAACAAATACAGCAGCTTCTGAATAATTTTTTTTTGACTGGATTATTTAAATATTGTAATCTGTTTGGACACTATAAAAAATATGTCATGAGGAAATAAAATAATTCTCCAACTCTTTCATGTTTATACATAAGTGGGCCTTGAAATACACTTTTCACTTACTGAAATAAAAAGGAAGCTTTCTAAAGGGCATGGAAGGAGAGGAGCTTGCCTGGTTTTGTGAAGTATATCCTCTATTTATAATCCATTTTCTGTAATTCTAAAGTATATATGCCTTTTAGAAGCACACCACTCAACAGCTGCAGAGAGTGCCTAATGTAACAGAGGGAAAAAACAATTTGGGTTATTTGCCAGGCATTTTGTGGCCGTTCTTAGCAATTTATTGACAAAGAAACACAATGCTAGAAGTGCATTGTTACAATTTTGTCAGATTTCTAAGAATGTTACACAGTCTGTGTTCTAAAATAGTTGCAGCACTTGATATGGTCTTCCATCTGAAGAGTTCAACTATGTTAATCACCAACTAAATCATAAAGTATCTAAAAGAGAAAATGTGACAATTTCTGAAACTTGAATCTTTTAACTGTTTTCTGATCTGATTCTATGATTTTTTGTTTTTTGATGTTTTGCAGATTAAAGGAACAAAGGGTCAGGTAACACGAGCAGAAATTCTTCAAGAAGGCCTTCGAGAATTACTAAATGCACTTTTCTCCAATCCTGTGGACAGTAATTTGATATGTGCAGTGAAACTGCTGAAGGTGAGGCAGTTGTTCTGAAAGAAGAAAAAAATAATCAAGTTCTGTAGTTGAGGGGGACAATCTGGTACTACTTATTTGTGTAATTATATGTCAATCATGGTATAGTTCAAACACAAATAGTAAGTTATTTTGCTTTTTCTTCATCTGGGATAACTAAAAACAGTGCATCACATGTAGTCATGTCATAATGATTCCTGCTAGTGAAATGGGGAGGGGGGGGGGGGGGTAACAAAAAAAAAAAAAGACTGCGGGATGTGGGGGGCAAATCTCATGAAAGCCTATTTCTTTCTGCCACATACCACAGTGGATTCCTAGGTTGCAAATATGAGATCCAGGCTAAGAGAGGTAGCCACATCGCACGGTTCCTTTTATAGGTCAATGCTATAGTGTGTCGTTATTAGCTGTTCTTAAATAACATGATAAAGAGAGGTTTCTAATTGTGGGTAATTAGAAATTCAGAATTGGTAAAGTAAAAAGAGAGAGGGTAGTTTCCTTTCTTAGTCAGCACGAACATTATTGGAGTTAAGCAGCTGTCATTCTTGAATGTCCCTGTTATATTCTTCCATGCACTGGGAATGCTTTAACTGAGTGCCTCAAAAGAGAAACGAGCAGTGCATAAAGTCAGTGGGATGCGCTTCTGTAAACACAAAGTGCAGGTGACATGTCTTCTGGAAGTATTTCTTGTCAGAACGATAAGAATTTTGGTTATCTAAAAAAATGCTTGAAAGTTGGGAAGAGAAGGTGGATAACTGAAAAATAATACTTTTAAATGCCATAATAGATAAGGAAATGTATGCATAGAGCATTATATTTCTTTTTGAGATGATGGATGTACCATCTTCCTTTTGGTAATGGTAGGGGAGACAAAGCTGCAACAGAGAAAATGTTTGTAGGATTTTATGCACTACATTATTAGTAACACAATTACTTTTTTCATTGCAAACTTGAATAAACAAAAAAGTAAAGTACTACTGTAGAAGTAAAGTGTGAGGCCATATATAGTAGCAGTGGAACTGACGCAAAGGAGCAAGTAATCCTTTCAGCTCTCCTTTTCCAACTTGTGTTGTAGGAGAAAACAGTAACCAACTCAAATGAATTGTGAGCGTTGGGGTATATTTTCTGGTTTGAAAGATGCTGAGAAGTTAGGGTCTATCATTTTCAAAAGTTCTTTGCAGCAAAAGGTTCTGTCCCACTTCCTACTGTATCATTTGCATCAATACCACAGTATAAATAGGTATTTCTCTTTCATAATGAAAACAAGTTTCTTTTGTCATTGCTTTTACTTTTCCTAAAAAAAAAAAAAAAAAAAAAAAAACTATACAGGGAGAAGCTTGCTTTCACAAGCCCTAGTAATATTCATACTTGGGAAAACACAGTTTATTTTAGGAATGAAGGTCAAAGTATATGCTCCTTTTCCAGAATTTTGTTTCAGTATTTTTGTTGCTGGTTTGTTTTTTGCCCTTGTTCCTTCCCTGTCCTCCCACTCTATGGTTTTTCAGACTCTTCTCTTAAGTTCTTGTGGCTTCTTTTTAATACAGTGAATAGGGAAGAGAGCTTTTATATCTTCCTTAAAACAAATGTTTGAATGTTGAAGACATTGAAACAAATTTTGAATGTTTAAGCTGGTTGCTTCATAGCAAGTATGAGGCTGTATTCACTGAGCACATTCACTCCTGCAGCTGATCCTTATGTTCTATGTGTCACTACTGCAGTAATATATTTTTCCTGATATATTTTCTTCTTCATATAGAACCATTTAGGTTGGAAAAGACCCTTAAGACCACCACATCCAACCATGAATGCAACCCTAAGCAGTAGACACAAAGTCTACCACTAAACCATGTTGCTAATTGTCACGTTTGCATGTCTCTTAAATACCTTCAGGGTTTTAAAGCACCACTCCACCTCCTCCCTGGAATAGCGGTGGATGCCAGAGCTTTTTACCTGTTTGCTCTGCAATGTGTTGTTGTTTTTTTTTTATATATATTAAACCTTCTTGATACTATTATCTAGTTATCTAGGATCAAGGCAGGACCCTTTGAGAAATCTGGAAATATGAAATAAGAGCTAAGATACTTGATTTTCTGTTGCATCTCATCATATAAGGGAATAAAATGCCATTCCAAGCATTTTGGATTATGTGATACTTACACTGAGTAGACCAGAAATTGCTAATAACTTTGACTATAGTAGCAAACTAATTCTGCATGATTTAATTCATTACTCATACTGTGTAGTTCTTGGGCAATTATTTGCCAGTTCTTATAGAAAAGTCTTTCATCCACAGCAGTTCTAGATTGTCTGCTGCTAAAGTGCTATCAGCATTAGTTTCAGGCCTCACAGATTTTAAGTATTAAAATTCAAGTTAGTTTGGTTAGATGATTCTTGCCTCCTCTTATATATGTCCAGATGAAATTATCTACCATGTCCGATAGCTATGTTGATTGAGGTGTTTCAAAAGATTACTAATCTGTTTGTTGTTCTCAGGTAAACTAGCGGTATTACCTGCAAAAGTATGGTTTAATTTTTCATAATATACAAAATGTAGTGCAGAGCATGCACTTAAAGCAATTAAGATCTGACAAATGCCTTTAATCCTTTTGAGCAGGATTCAAAATGCTGCTGTATTTCTGTGTTGATGTGACCCTGGTAACAGTATTGTCACATGCAATCTTCATCTCTACCATCTGACTTCAGAGAGGTGATGAGATGTAATGATTAACATTGCAGTGACTTCATGTAGAAAATCACAGAATCGCAGAATTGTAGGGGCTGGAAGGGACCTAGAGATCATCAGGTCCAACCCCACTGCCAAAGTAGGCTCCCTAGAGCAGGCTGCCCAGGTAGGTATCCAGACTTGAAAATAAGGTAGGCATCCAAACTCAAATACCTTTGGAGAAGGAGACTCCACAACCTCCCTGGGCAGTCTGTCCCAGTGCTCTGTCACCCTCACCATGAAGAAGTTCTTTCGCATGTTGGTGTGGAACTGCCTGTGCTCCATCTTGTGGCCATTGCCCCTTGTCCTGTCCCCACAAAACACTGAAAAGAAGTTGGTCAAATCCCTCTGTCTCCCACACTTGAGATATGTTTAAAGATTGATAAGATCCCCTCTCAGTCTTCTTTTCTCAGAAGAGACCCAGCTGAACAGACCCAGCTCTCTTGGGAGAAGAGAGTTTTCTCTGGAGGGAAAAAAAGAAAAAAAAATACATGTTTTGTTCTAATATGACTGGTCCAGAGTGTAACTAAATCATTGAAGAGTTATTTCAAATTCTAGTTTAAAGACGGAAAGAAAGGAGGGATTTGGCTGTGGACTTGAAGGTAACATAAATGAAGGTAACATAAACATTGGATATAGAGGTACCTTACTGTACATAGTCTTAAATAGACTGTTTAACAAGGTCAATTTTATTCTATTTAGTGACAAGATTTAGGAGATTGGCAGGTTCAGTCTTCATATAGTTGGACAATCTTGCATGTTACAAATTGTCAACATAAGAGTTTCTGTAACAACTTGTTAATTTTTTCTATGATTTGCTTTAAATAAAAAAAAAAAATGAGTGCTCATCCCTTGTCTTTAGTTAACAGGCTCAGTTTTAGAAGATGCCTGGAAAGAAAAAGGAAAGAATGACATGAATGAAGTGATCCAACGAATTGAAAATGTTGTGTTGGATGCAAACTGTAGCAGGTGAGAAGATATATTTGTTCCGCATGTAGAATACTTTAAAAAAAAAAATAAAGAATACTGAACATGTCCAAAACACACATTTACCGGCCTAAAAAACTTACATTCACAGAAAGTGATGTAAGTATCACTTTGCATCTAATAAACAATATTTTTTCAACTACAGGTGTTTCTTTATTTTGTTTTGGTTTTGTTTCTTGCCTCAACGGAGGTGATTAATGACCTTTTGGTCTTAACCTCCAGTAAGTGGTTTAGGCTCTTAGAGCAAGTGTAAATGTAATAGCTGTGATATCTCCTAGTTTATACTTTTAAATCATACTTAAACATATCTTAAATATGGTAGTTAAATTGCTGTAATTGTAGGGGTGAAATAGATTTATTTTTTTGCTGAAGAACATGCTGTTTTGGTAGGGTCTTACTACTTGTTGCAAAAAGTAAAGGAAAACTGAACTCTTCTCCATGGACTTCGTTAGAAGAAGAAAACAATTTCTCTTATTTCAGGGAAAAATAGAAGATGATATTTAATGTATTGGAGAGATTAGTTTGCTTGTTGACTACAGAAATTCAGTGTGATTCAGAGAGGTAAAGTCAGGACTATAAATTAGATGTTTGAATATCACCCCCTCTTCCTGTATTCCCCACTACTATCCTTTTATAAGAAAAGGATTTGTTCCTCAAGTTGTGCTGCAGACTTGGTATCTTGATTAAAAACTAGAGCTGTTATCTATTTCATATGGACAACCTACATCAACATGGAGGAAATGGAGAGTGAGTGTTTCATAATTGACCCATGGAGCATCTAGACTTGAAGAAAAAAAGGCTGTAACTCAAAATTACCTGCAGACTGGACCAAGTGTTTTATTCCTTTTGGGGCTTCTTCTGTGATGTAACTGTCTAGAATTTGTAGGATAAGAGAAGCCATTTTATTGCTTAGCAGGAAAACATTCTAACTTCTGTATTGCTTCCCTTTATTTTAGAGACGTGAAACGTATGCTTTTGAAACTAGTAGAACTGCGATCAAGTAACTGGGGAAGAGTTCATGGAACTTCTTCACATACAGACGCCACCCCTGACAATGACCCGAACTATTTTATGGTAAGAAAGTACTGACACTATGGTTCTTTAATGTTAATTTAATTTGATCCGTAGACATTAATATTGCTGAAAACATATTTTGCTGATAACGTATCTGTAGTGTATTTCATATTGCTGAAAACTACAAAAAAACTACAAAAAGATGCTTCTCTGAATGCATACAATTTACTGTATAACTTTTATTCTTAGAATGAGCCAACATTTTACACTTCCGATGGCATTCCTTTCACTGCTGCTGATCCAGGTACATCATAGGCTTAATATATGTCTTCTTTAAAAAATATAATTAAGTTTATGCCCTTCTGAAGTATACCTTAAGTTGTTTGTAAGATATATGAAACTCATGCAATTTAAAAGGCAAAATAACGTATGAATTTTTGGCTTTCAAGTGTGCAATGCATGCCTTACTCAGGGTTAAAGAATGTAAGTGTTTGAAATGGAGGATATGTATTTGAGTTCATACAGTTCATATAGAAGAATTTGTGCCATAGTCCTCAGCACCTAGCCTCCCCACAAGCCAATAAAACTTCAAGTGGTCCTTTGTCAGTTGTTGGAAACTTAGAATCGTAATTAGGCTGGAAAAAAGCTTCCAGATCAAGTCCAATAGTCAACCTGGCCTACCAAGTAGCATCACTAAACCATGTTCCTTAGTAACAAGCAGAAGGGTTTGTTTCTTTGTTTGGTTTCTATCATCTGGGCACAACACGGCATGATGTTTCAGATGAAGGTATCTGTGACTATCTTTGCAGTTCTGTGGGATCATGGGTATCTTTCTTATTCTTAAAGGTTGGTTGATGTCCTGAAAAAACACTGTAGTACTAGGTTTTTCTGTATTATGTTTTCTGCCTTTTATGGCTTCATTACGTAGGCTACTTTCAGACTGTATAGATCAATGTTAATTTAGAGGACTATCCCTATTATATATACTACTCAGTCTCATTTTTACTATGCCAGATTACCAAGAAAAATATCAAGAGCTGCTTGAAAGAGAAGATTTCTGCCCAGATAATGAAGAAAACGGAACAGATTTACCGGGAGCTGACTATCTGTATGTTTTCTTTTAGATACTAGTTATTTTTTCTGCAAACTTAAGAATCCAATCTTGACAAAAATGAAACCATAATAATACAATTTTTGTTTAGCCCTACAATAGAAGTTAAATGTTTGTTAAGGTGTACATTGTTATCACACAAGTTTGTAACAAACTTTTATTCAACTGGTAATGAAATTTCAGCATTTCCACACAGGTACAAACTTCTTTTTAATGTAGAGAAGAATATTGCAAGCAGAATGCAGCAAGAGCTTCGAGTATCAGAAAATGAGGCAACCTGTATTCAGTTCACTGATGACTATATATCCTACCTAAAGGTGACCACAACATTTTCAAAGGGGAAGCTGCTAAATTTTTCTCCTTAGGATAAATAGCATTCCCCCATGAAATGGCTGTTCAGTATTTTTGTAGAACAAGAAAAGCAAACTGATAGCAAAGGGAGAAGCAGTAGATAGGAATATGGTCTGATTTTCTAACACTGGCTTATAAGAATTTAAAATTTAAACCAGTAGGAGGAATGTGGTCTAAAGTAAATTGCTCTGAGTTTTTTATCTATCTGCTTAAAGCAGGACTTTCACGTTAGGATTTGATACCTAAAAGTATTTTCGGTGTTGTTGTGTGTGCTAACAGGACTGGCCTGGATCAATATTTTTGTTAATAAATTAAAAGACTAAGATGGCAGCTAGCTGAGGCTAGTTGCAGAAGCTGTGGAAGGTAAATTAGAGATGTCATGAGGAATTAACAGGCTCATATTGAGGAAAAAATACCCATTTGAACTGCTGTGCTTAGAAGACCAAGTTAAGTGCAAAATGGAAAGACAGAATTTTAAAAAAAGAAAAAAGAGTATTTGAAGAGTTGCCTGTGGAAGACAGAGTTAGCCTTCCTGCAAAGTGACTATGGAACCTTTGTTTAAAGCTTAAGAAAAGCTTAGCCAAATACGTTCTGATCCTCTGTCAGCTATTTCTTGTGGCTGTCATCAGGGAAAAGGGTTCTGTGTCGAGTCCCTTTGCAAGTCTACAGTCCTACAAGTAAGGAGGAACAAATATCTTAACTGCTTATTTAACGCACAGTGCTCAAGAAAAAATAATATCCTTAATTATACATTTCTTTTTGGCACTTACTGCAGTTTTGTGTGAAACAATTACGGCCACAGTGCAGATAAATTATGCTAATTCCCTTGTTAGGAACACAGGCACAGAAGATAATTTGGGCACCTGAAACAAAGGCACACTTACTGAGGGTCAATAGCTGATGACTATTTCTTTCTTTATAAGGGTGTTTAGAATTACATACCCTATCATGTTCTAGCTACAACTCCATTGTCCTCATTTATAGTGGTGAAGACACCAGTTGGACCTACAGGGAAAAAAGTGATGTGCAAGTTACTTAGCTGTGGGAAGGAGCAAAGCTGTTATGTGATCCCCATCACATCTCAGCTTTATTTTGAAACTCTTTGGTAGTCTCCCCTCTGTGCAGTACTGATTATTGTTAGCAGGATCCAGCCTTTTCTCTGGTCCAAATGTAAGAGATCTTCTTTTTATTAAAAAAAAAAAAAAAAAAAAAAAAACTGCCATGTAATAGGAGGTAATATAATGCAGATGCAAAAGGGGAATGAATTAAGGTTGCCTTCTTCTGAATATCAACAGATAGGATAATGTATTTTTTTGACTCATGTGTGACCAAGACAGTTGATTCTGTATTTGAACTAGGATGACCTAACCAAAAATTATGTTAATTAAGCTTTCTGGGGGAGGAAAAAAAAAAAAAAAAAAAAAAAAACAGTGCAAAAACATCATTAAGTTTTGGAAATAAGTTGTTCTGCATTGCATTGTTGCTTTTTCTGTAATCTAAAAAACTCTTAACTGCTGGAGAGCATTAGACAGTCTAAAAAGGTGACAAACATTATTGTGATTTGTATATGCCTGTGCTTTGCATTCTTGGGTTATTTTTGTAGCCATGATTTTGGTTTTCTCTCTTCAATCCCTTCTAGTAAATAGTTAGCTACTATTTTTGAAGGTCTGCTTTATATTTCTCATCTACATCAATATTTCACCTATTTACTGTTGTATAAAGTATGTACTTAATCTTATTTTTGTGTTTTTTGTAGGTATTTTGATGACATTGATGACGAGATGGATCCAGAAATTGAAGAAGCATATGAAAAATTCTGTCTAGAATCGGAACATGAGAGAAAAGAGTGAGATGTTAAACATAAATCTTAGTTTATTAAAGCAGTTTAGGCATGGTTAGAATACATGGGGATATAAAACTTGTAACATTTGTACCAAAATAAGGAAGTTGAGTTTCTCCAAGTACTAAAGATACACAATTTCCATTTTGTTAAACAGAATCTGCCAAAAATTGTAAACTTATGTCCTGTATCTTAAAATGTTGTGTATATATCATAGTTTATTTTATGTACAGGTATATGAACAATGTTTTGGCTGCAATAAAAATTGATTTAAAAAGTGTCATAACGGAAATTAAAGTTTAACTAAAGGGGATCTGTCCCATATTTCCCTTTTTGGGAGAAGGGGGAAGAATAACGTGATCTAACTTTAATTGCTTGCTTGCTGGTTCTAGTATACATTAGGAGTTATTCATCCTTTTTGCCATATACAAGCTATCTTTTTTTTTTTTCTGCTAAGGAGAATATGGTCCAAATATGGCTTACCTGTTCTGTAGATCATGAGAATTGGTTTGTTAAGGTTTTGTATCGTGTGGGTTATTTTGTGGCTTCTTTCTTTCTCTTCTTCCTCTCCCCAAACCCACTGGGGTGAGGTCTTGACATTTTTTCCTGGAATAAACATGTGATATGTTGATATTGTGAAAAAGCAAGCAGTATTTTGAAAGTCAGGTGCTTTCAAGACATGTGGTTCAGATAAGCTTATTTTCAATTTCTACATGCAAAAATGATCCTTTAAATAATTTGCTGTGTTCTTCAAGATTACCTGAATATAGTTATAGTTTAACCCATGCTCCTCAAAAGTATGTGCAGTGCTCAATATATTTTTGAATGTATCTAACATGTCTAACCTTCTGGAAACCCTTGTAACTTTTTCCATTCTAATTATTTTGTATAATTTGTCCTAATTTTGTAGTTTGAATACATTCATATATTTCAAATATGTTAACATTCTGAAGCCAACTACTCTTCTTTGACCCAATATAATCACGTTAGTGTCCCTAGGATATTCCATTGCTGTTGGTGTTGCCAAACTCAGTTGTACTGTTTCCTGTTATCTGTTACTGGTTAGACTAAGTAGAACCCCCTTGCAAAATAAAAAATAAAAAAAAATATTAAAAAAAAAAATCCCAAAAAGTAGCTACTGTAAAGAACATGTTGTAAATATGCATGTAAATAATTCTGTTAATATTTCACTGTACTACGTTTGGTTAAATAACTTGTGTGTCTGCTAATACAGTGAGCACTGACTGTTTTCTGGATGTTAAAACATTCGTTTAGGTTGGAGTTTTTGGAAAATAAAATTTAACTAGCTTTGTTTCCTTTGGTATATTTTCATTCTTTTGCCTTTTTTTTAAAGAGGTTTTGGTCCATTCATCTTCTCATTTTCCTACATCTAACACTCGTTTTTTCTTTAAAGTATACAGATACAGAGAAGATTATTTTTTAATATAGATTGGACACACAAAATCAATAAAATGACAATACTAGTCATAATATTTATATTAGCACTGGATGGAAATCCAGAAACAATAAAAGTATAAATTAAATAATTTTCAGATAGAGAATGTCTGTGTGAAGTATCTGACTTTAAGTTGTGCATAATTTTCTTACAAAATTTTTAATTCAAATGTAGGTCAGTTTTCTTCGTTACTTCACAAGTAAATATCTTGTAGAAAACAGATTGCTGAAAATGGAGAATCTCGATAGCATGACCACAGAACAAGGATTCACCCATGCATGATAGTAAGTTAAGTGTCTTCAAGGGGCCCTGCCTTTTATGTTTAGTTTTACATTTCTTGTTTAGTGTCTTTCTATCAAAAGTAGCAGTCTGACTCTAGATGTATCTGGATGATAGAATCACAGAATATCCCAAGTTGGGAGGGACCCCTAAGGAACATCAAGTCCAACTCCTGATACATCCTGTGAGCTTTTGGGGACAGTTAATCTTAGATGTGGATGTAAGAAAGAAATATTGTAAGTCATCCTGTATAAAAATGTTTGAATTAGGAGTTGTATATTTTAAACAATTCAGATCAAGTTTTGCAAAATAGGCTTTTCCTATTTTTCCAGCAAAAATATTTAAAGCTCTGTTTTGGGATGTTAATTCAAAACAGTGGAGAAGTTGGTGTTCTAAGTGCACATGAATGTTTGTAAGAGCCGAAGACTTGCATTGCAGTAAGGAGAAAATGGTTTTAACTCTCCTCTATTGATTAAGAAAAACAAGATCCTGTTTGCTTTAAACATTTTAACTATCTTTCCTATTTGTCTTAAATCTCACAGGAGACTAATACAAATTAGTGAGGATGGAATGAGATGAGGGAGCAAATGAATGAAGCAGCTTTTGTATTGTAACAATCACTTTTTGCAGCTTGTCTTCCCACTTTTAACTGCTCTTCTGTGTATCACAGAGGTGAGTCTGGGGGGTTTAGGGATGATTTCAACTACACTAGCATTTTCAAGTTAGTAGTGCACTGTGCTATGGTGCTTTTCATTTATTGTTCTGATGAAAAACCCTTTGAAAAGATATTTTCTTTTTATTTTTTTTCCTTCATAATGGCAAGCCCATGAAGTCAGAAAAACAGGGCAATTAAACTTCAGGGGAGAAGTTAAGCCAACTTTTTAAACACTAGTTCTGCAAAGAAAGACTCTGCATTTGAGTTCGTGCATGCGACTAAGCAGTTAGTTTCACACATCATGAAAAGTATGCACGATACTTGCCACTCTTGACAAATCAATTGTGAGTTAAAAATGTTTAATATGAGAATCTCACTTTGCTTAGTCACTTCATGCTGGGCTGAAAGATGGGTCACTTTGCATGCTGTTTGTTTTTAAATGAGTTACGTATTCAGAAACCTTTACTCAGTAATTTCCTTTCATGTCTGCTAAGAGCTTTTGCTACTAACCTACTTTTTTATTAGGAAAAACATGATCAGTAGTTTTTTGAATATTGGTTTTAAGTGTAATTGTAGCACTACAGACAGAAGTAACTGGCTTAGTTACATCAGATAGCACAGATTATGTATAGTTAGGATTTTTTTTTAAGCAGCGTCCATTATGGCACTGAGCTTTAGTGACACGTGCTCCAGATTGTGATACTTGTTTTTATTTCTCTCATCTCTAAATGTTCTGCCTTTCTCTCTTTTCTACACAGAACTCATTTATGCAATTAGCAAGTTCAAGTTTGCAACTTTGCTTCTCTTTGACACAATTATAGTTCTAATTATCCATGTTATGTGCATGGTTCCTGCTAGTTGATTTAAGTACAGAAAAATGCAATTTCAGCCAAAAGTTGAGAACAGTACTGTATGTGTATGTAAATATATTCCTGAATTGCTTCTGTCACCTCTACTTCAGTCTACTTGACCTGCTTCTACAGCTAGCTTCCAAGTTTAGGGTTCCTACCTTAGCACTGAAATTGCTGGAAAAAAATATGCATCTTCCATAAATAAAAAAAAAAAAAAAAATAGAGCAGAGAACTAATATTATTTGTGTTTTAAATGATTGAATACAAATAATTAAAAGCTCAACCAGGACTAAAATCTGCATTTCTGAGCCCTACTCCAGTTCTATCTCTATCAAGTCTTATACTTGCTTACTTTAAAACCAGTTATCTTTACACTGCTAGATTTTACAATAAAGAGGATAAAAATAATTCATAATCTAAAAATATACTCTGAAACTTGCTTGAGGCAAGTATAGTGCAGAAAAATAGTAATTAAAAACAGAACCAGATTTATTTCGGTGCACACTTATATCTGTAGCCACTTGACTGGAAGCTGACCTTCCCTCTGTAACTGCTTTTTCAGCAGAGGATGGAAATTTGTCCTATATGCAATTCCACGGTCGCATATTGATCTAAGAAACATGCACTTTCAAAGGTAAGGAATTATTTTTACAGCGTGATGAACCATGTGATCTAGAGTGCCATTTTATGGCAAAGGATCTTGAATTACGTTTACTTAGTGCTTTAACCAGGCATTGGTAATGAATTGTCCTTTAACTGCAAACTGTCATTCTATTTAAAATAGCTTTAATTAAACTGTAAAGGTGGATGGTGGTGGTAATGTATGTATCTTCCAAAAAGGCAAACTAAATTATAAATTGTCCTTTGGGATATTAATCTGTAAAATCTTTATTCAGCTAGGGCTGCTGAGATCCCACTACAAGTAACTACATGGATTAGATTTCAGTATATGTATGTAGAACAGCAGTCACAAGAGAAATATTTATTTGTAATCTGTCTTTGGGCTATGTTGTAGATCGGCAACCTGCCTCCTCACTTTCCAGAGATGTTAACATGTGGAGGAAATGAATTAATGAATTACTCAGCCGCTTACAGGCCGAAGGGGCAAGGGCAAGGACGAACACCAGCAGGTACTGCTGCAACAGCTCCCCAGGCAGCTGTCCTCGGTGCAAACACAGGTGTCGAAAGATGCCTGTCTTAAAGTAGCACAGTTACCAGTAAGCAGTCAGGGCATCCACACTGCTGATTTTCATTTCTGGATTTTAACCCACGTCATTCTCTCCCCTCGTTATCGAAAGCCACGACTTCAAGCAGCAATAAGCTCTGTTTGTAGAGCTACCCGTTGCCATTCTCGTGTTACTTGCCCGCTTTCCTCACAGCCCCCCCGCCAAGCCGGCGCCTCAGAAACGCCGCCACAAACACAGCGGGCGTGGCGGCCGCAAGCGGGAGCCGCACGAAGGGGCCGTTACCTCCAAACAGCCATATTAAAAAAATAAATAAATAAATACATAAATAAAGAGTTCAAGCGGCGGTGCATGCTGAGGGAGCTGGGCGGCCCGTCCCTGCCTTTCCCGCCCGGCGGGCCGCCCGCCCTCGGTCGCCATGGCGGCGCGGGGCTTGATGGCGCTGCTCGGGGACGGCTCCGTGGAGCTGCGCGGCGTGGGGGGCGCCCGCCTCCTGCTGTCGCCTTGCGGCTCCGAGTACCTGTTCGAGGAGGCGCTGCCCCCCGCCGCACACCCCCTGCAGCCGGCAGAGACCTGCCGCCGACGGGTCGCCTTCGTCCTCAGCGCCCACAGGGTACGTGGCGGCCGGGGAGGGGAGCGGGCTGGGAGGCGCCTCCGCGAGGAGCGGGGCATCGCCTCAGCCCTCCTAAGGAAGGGAGAGGGGCTCGGTCTGCGAACGCCTCCAGAGGTCCTGTGATGGCACTGTTTGCTTTTGTCTTCGTCTTTAATTAGGAACAAGTTGCACGAGCTCTGCATTTCCGGAACAAGTTTTCGCCTCGGCCGTACTTACCTTCAAGCTTTATATCCCCGGAAAGAAAGACTGTAAGTGTTACACGCACAGCGCTTCTGTAAACTGAGCTGCCCTGGAAGTCTGACAAAGTGGGCTTACAGAATTGCACACGCGTGTGTACGAGTAGAGGCCTTGAAAACTGACAGTGCACAGTTTGGTTCACGCATTTGTCATCTCACTTGGAATACTGCTGTTTCAAATTACAGTTTTAAATCTTGCTTAGTTTTTTGTCCTTAGTCCTGCATATCCTTAGCAGCTGAACAGTACAGATTTCACCCGGTCTTAGTAAGACTAAAACCCAGATATTTCATATTCTTTAAAAGACTGATGAATCACCTGGATTGGACTGGCATTCCATTAGCAGCATACTTCATGCTAATGTTTATTTGTTAAACATTGACTATCAGTACATACCTACAGCAGTCAGACCTTAACAGTCCTATCATGTATACACTATGCATGTACACAGAGCTGATGCTCTGCTGTGTGCAGTAGTGGGTAACCTCCCACCTTCTGGTTCAGGATCTTCTCATGGCTGAGTTTCTAGACAGTTCCTAACCATACTTTACACCTGCACTACCTGCTTCAGGATACTGAGGAGTAACTTTCGAAAGCCACAGTAAGTGGCTTTTTTTCTGGTCTCCTTTCTTCTTGGTTTAGCCACAACTGCTTTCCTTAAAGCAAGAATGGTGTTTTTGTAGCTTCTGATGTTGTACTCCCTTGCTGACCAGTAATTTACAATCAGCTTGTTTTTCTGTGCCCTCTACTTTCCACCAGTGCTGATATTTTCAAGGCCTTTGCTGTTTGTCACACTTAAGCTGTACAGTGTAGCAAGAGATACCAGCTGTCAAGTTCCAAGTACACACAGCAAGCTCTCCTAACAAGGTGGTCACGAGCCTAACAAGCCACTCTGGGACCTGGAACGAGTTATCTTAAGGCACAGTTAGCATAAGGTCTGTGACCTGTTACTAGCAGTGATGATACTATTTTTACAGGGATGCTGCATACAAAAATGCATCTACAGTTACACTGTATTACTTCACTTATGCTTAAATTCAAACCAATGCCATTCACTTAGGCTCTGTTTGGACATGCTGACCATCTGTATCTTTAGGAGGCTTGACAAAGGGGATCCTGTCAGTTAAGTGGACTGCTTAGAGCTGTACGTAGTTTTGAACATGCAGATTTAATCATAAATGTATTCAGCAGTAGCTGTATGTTTTGCTGTGGTTTTTTTTTTTTTTTTTTATGTTGTTTGTTCGTTTCCTAGAAATTTGGAGTATGTGATATCAAAGACTATGTTTGCAGTCAGTCATTACACCAGTATCTCATTCCTGGTGGAAATAGTCAGGTCAGAGCCCATCCTTCTGTATGTAAAGTTAGGATTGCTTTTCTTCATTTATATCACACCATTTATCTCCACTAAATAGTTATCTGCAGCCTTACTGAGCAGTCCCTTGAATATTTTTAGGGTCCTTTTGCAAGTCTTTATGGTCAATTTTCATTTTTAGTTAGCCCTAAATACCTTTGGCAGATGTTTTCACTTTGCTAATGCACTCGTGTTGCCATATTTCATTTTTATTGGACTCTGGGCAGAAGTATGATCCTGGTTTGATTTAAGATCAGTGCTGTGGTTTAACCTGGCAGGCGGCTCAGCACAGTACTGCTGCTTGCTCACTGTCCCTGCCTCCAGTGGGATGAGAAAGAAAATCAGGGTGAAAAACAAAGTAAAACCTATGGGTTGAGGTAGACAGCTTAATAGGAAAGAAAGGAATGAATGAAGACGCAAAACTCATGCATAATGCTGTTGCTCGCCACCTGCTGGCCGATGCCCTGACAGTCCCTAAGCAGTCATGTTGTCCCTGTTCCCCCCACCCTAGCTGACTCCCCCTGTCTTATTGTTCAGCATGAAGGCAGGCGATGTGGGACACCGCTTTGGCTAGCCTGGGCTGGCTGTCCTGTGTGTCCCCTCCAGCTCCTGGTCCCTGATTCCCCTTGCTGACAGGGCTGCACGAGGAGCTGAAATGTCCTGGGCTCTGTGAAATTACCTCTCTGCAGCAACTAACACATTGGTGTGTTATCAGCATTATTCTCATCCTAAATCCAAAGCACAGCACCATGCCAGCTACAATGAACAAATTAACTCTGTCCCAGCTGAAACAGCAAACAGTCAGGTGGGACAAAGCTGATTAAACTGAATGAATACTCTTCTGCTAAGAGAGTTTTTCAGGTCTTATTTGAAGTGGGTTTGCATTTCTTTGTTCATGTAGGATCCAGTACTTTACCTGGAGTCTCCAAATGAGAGCACAGTAAGAGTATTTCCTGTGCAGTGATCAGGCATAATGACAATGCAAACAAATGCATGTCCTTTTAGGGCAGAACATTTGTAGGTGCCTAGAAAAACACTCTCTATCTTGAGTTTTTTGTTTTATTTTGTTTTGTTTCTTTCAGAATGTGATTAGTGCATTTTCTAAATTTATCTATATTTATTTAGCTAATATGTGTTTATTTAGCTATATGTACTTAGCTATACTACCTCTTTGGTTAAAGCTATAACCTGGGGATTGAGGTAGATGCAGTGTTTGTTTGGAGCAATTTGTAGAGAATCAGCTGCTTCATTTAAGAACATATTACATATGCCATTGCACATGGTACATATTGCATATGCCATGGTACATTATATGCCATTTTACAGGCTTAATTTTATAAATAGGAGAATTCAGACTACATGGCATATCAGTGTACACAATTTTAATGTGGACTTTGCATGAATTCCACTGATAACAGATATGATCAGTATAATGATATTGATCATTTCCTGATCTTGAGCTTTCTCTTCAGTGTTTCTTAACAAGTTTGAAATAGCTGTCAGCGGGCAGTTATGCCTGGTCAGTTGGCCATGCATCCTTCTGGTTTATGAATGGGTATTAAATTATAAGCATATTGCTAGAAATAATCCTGTTAGAACAGGAGGAAAATGATTTGAATGATAGATATTTTGAGTTCACGTGTGCAAATAAATACAGACTAATGTTTTATGCCATACATCAGCATGCAGAAGACATGAATTATTTCAAAAAACTCACAATCCCTCCATTGTAATTTCTGGCAAGCATGTAAGTTTTACTTTGAAGCACATTTCAACCCTTTTTCTTGTATTAGATTCTGTTCAGTGATGTCTTAGAAGTTAGATGGCCTGACCTTGTTACTGCTGACCTGACAAGATGTATGAAGAATGGCAATGTGAAGATATCATCATTAGACGGTTATGCCCACCTTCACCTGTCAGGATTGCAGCAAGAATTTACTGTGGAGTTCTTATGCAAAGTCAGCCAACCATCTGCAGCATATTCACATTCCTCTCAGAAGAACAGCAACTATCAAAATGAAGATCAGTATGGAAAATCAAGTAAAAATTCTCTTCCAGAAACGTCATCAAGAAAAACGAAAGCAGAAAATAGAAAGAATGAACATGGCAGTGCTGAAGGAAAATACAGAGACCCAACCAAACCAAAGGACCAAAAAGACAGAGATAGAGTTCCTATGTTTTACACAAACTGTTCTTATGAATACACATGGGTTACACAGTGTTGGTCTGTTTCCTCGTACCCAGAAGAATGGAAATACCCTTTGTCTTTGGCATTTATGTGCTATAACTTACATACTGTTAAGACTGAAATGAAAACATGTGAGGGAAATGACCATACATCTATAGGAGCAGATGTTGTAATAGACCCCAAAGCATGTTCAACCGTATCTCGTTTGCCTACAGCTTTGCCACTAAGCTGCAGAGCACCACATTTACACAGGTAATTTAAACTGTTTGCATCTTAGTTGTTAACATATGTCTACAGTTCTGAACTTCAACCTTTAGCAAAATAACTGAAATCTAACTGTAAGAAGTAAAAAATCATAACCTATTTTGTTAGCAACTTCTTGAAACATGAAATTTGTGAAACCAACATTCTTTATCCTACTGTCAAAAAATAAAAACTCATTAGTCCAGAGGAAAAAACAAACAAACAAACAAAAAAAAACACATTTCTGATATGCTATGTAAATGAAAAAGAGAGTACTGAAAAAGAACACCATGCTGGGGTTTGAGTTTCTGTTTTTGTTTCAGTTCTGAATAGATGATACTTCTGAAGTAGGACAGTGACATATATTCTTTGTCAGCCCTGCTAAAAATAGTTGAAAAAATAATTGTAGGTTTGAGAAAATAAATTTGGTAACTAGGAACTAGTTACTAGTTAGGTATCCTAGGAACTAGAGGACATTGGAAATACATGGCCTATTTTCTTTTGAGTAGTTGTGAATGCATCTGTTTTGGTATAGAAAAATATTTCTGTTTAGGATACAGAAGTAATTACCAGCCAAGAAAAAAAAAAAAACACATTCAATCTTACTGAAGCTATTATTGTATTTTATACAGGTGGAGTTTCTGTGACTTTTTTCTACAAAAGAAGCAAGAGTCTGGAATGTATTCATACCCTCAGCTAATTGAAATTGTATGGTGCGAAGGTATTTTTTATAGGTATGTAGGAAGTCATGCATTTCATTTTTGAAGGACTTAATTTGTATGGGAATTAAACTTCAAGATAAAATGTCTTACTTCGTCCCTTTACCATTCCTTTAGAGATTGTATACAATCTTTATGGAAGATTCTATTAATGGCTGCCATTTGTTTGTTCTTAGAGCTTAAAGACAGAGCTTAAAATTTGCTTCACATTCTCTAATACATTGTAGTTCCAGGTCTGAAAGCAGGTATGCCTGAAAAAACAATTTTGAAATCATACTTAAGGCTTTTAAAGAAGTGGTCAGATTTCTTAAGAGACTTAAGTAGAGAACTGTAACTTCCACAGACTTCATTGACAATTATAGTGCCTTTTTTTTGTTGTTGTTTTGGCAAATTACATCACTTCTATTGATGCTAAAGATTTCACGTTTAGAAATGCTTGTCTTGGTGACCTATGTAATTCCCATGTTACAGGCAGCTAAACTCTACTGTAGATTTTCCTGGAAAATCAGCTTGCCTGTATGTTTTGGTTTGTTTGTATTTAAATAAGAATTTTGTAAAGTATGCTCTGCAAATCTGTTATACAAACTTTGAAAGGGTCACAGTCGCTGTCAGCATTCAAAAATTTTTGATAAAAATATAATTAGTCTAAAGCTTTCATCTTTCTCCCATACGCTGTTTTTTTTTCTCAGTTGATTTTTGATTCTCAGTTGATCTGAACAAAATTTTTGTCAGTGTTTTCAGTAATATGTAATAATAAACTTATTTATTGGTGAGTAGCCATACTTAGTCTTACAAGGCCCGGTAATATTTAAAGTCCCATTACTGAAGTTTAGGCATCTGACCACATGGTGCAGAACTGAGTCATTAAATAAGCGTAATGCTCCAAGATCACAAGAAAAAGACTGGCAATCTTAAACAAAACAAAACAAGACAGAAACAAAAACAAAAAACCACAGGTTCAGCAGAAATGAAGACTTTGGTTGTTTAGGAAGCATTCATTTCTACAGCTTTTTTTTTTTTTTTTTTTTCTGTGCACACCTGTGAGGGCTGGTCCCCTGAAAATAATATCTTTTCCTTCTTTTGCATTGGTATATTTTGTGTTCAGTGGAATGGGCATTGAACATCTTTTGTGAGATACCTACCTCAACACAAGGCTCTCCTTCTGAACATGCTAATCCTGTCCCCACCTCCACCCTTCAAAAGTAGCTTGGTAATGCCAATCATCAAAAAATAATTTGTGTGCCCTACTGTTTGTGAAACAGTATAAAGTTTTTCCTTTGAGAGTTGTTGAAAATATGTTTAGTGCTTTATTCTGTACTGTCTAGTGATACAGCATTTTAAATACTTGTTAAAAGTCTTCTTATTTCTCTTAGATTTATCCATGGCAAAAGAAACATTGCAGAAATTTACCCTGGTGATGAATCATTTTTCAAGTCTGAAGGAGCTTTTTTGGGAAACTACTTCGTGCATTATGCAATCCAGAAAGGAACAAACAAGGTAGGAATAAAACTGTTTAAAAATACGTTCAGAATTCCTTCAATTTAGCAGCTGTGTTTTAAGACATTTGGATATGTAGTCTAAAGTCAAGACCCCTTATTCATGTGATTCTACTTTGCTTTCAAGTGATTAGTTTTTTTAGCATCGCTGTTATTCCACTTCTCTTTCTTAACTTTATTTTTTTTTCTTTTAAGTTTATTGAGTTGTGTGTGCTAATTTCAATGTTTTCTTCTTAGATTTGGATATTTGTATTTTTAAAGCAGTATAAAGGATCAATGCTGCACCTTTTGAACCTTGCCTCTAACTTGTAGTAAAATGTAGTTACTCAGTAATGAACGATACTCACTGATAAAATAACCTATTGGTCCATGCTGAGTGTATGAAAACTGTGAATGTGTCTTAGACTTAAGGGATGGATACAACTGCATTTTTTGTTTGTGTGTTTGTTTTAGCTTTTAAAGGAGATACCTATCTTCTCGATTAATTTAAATGTGGTTAGAGTTGTCTGGGAGGTCAGAAATTTCATCTCTTTCAAGATTATAAATAGTTTTGTCATGCTACAGTACCTATAAATAACTACTGTTTCTTCTGCTCTTTACTGCAGAGAGAAGAGAAGATGTATTCAGTAAACAGTCTTCCTCCTGATGTACCAGGAAGTCCATACTCTATATCCTCCATCATTACTCAGGCAACCAAGTAACTTATTTTTCTCCTTCATTGTTGTTATATTAACTCCTCTAACTGTGAAAGGACAATAATTAAAATTACATGTGATACTTATTATTACATATGAAAATTAAGCAAATTTATCATATCACTGGTGGCATCTGTAACTTACAGAACAAAGATCACAGCTGTGTAGAAGATACTAAATAAGGACAAAATTCTTAATATTTAATACTTTTTTTCCTCAGAATGCTTCTGTACTGCTACAAGACAAAACTATCATTAATTCCTAACTATCATCTCTGCTGCTGGAAGATGGTATGTAGCTGAAGATTTATAAATCTTCCCATGTTACAAAGGTGACTGAATGTGCTATAGGGAGTAGGACCAATTCTAGAGGGAAAAATCTTAAGCAAAGATGAAAAGGTATATAACTGAGAACCATCACCACAGACTGTTAAGGTAAATTGGTGAAGCAGAAAACAGTGAATTGCATGATAAAGAGAGCTGCTTATGGTCTAGAAAAACATGAAAATTTGGGAGAGATACAACCAGCTGTGACATTTCCTCTTTTTTATGTCCTTGTTTGGTTCTAGGTACCTGAGACAGACGGACAGGAAACATTGCCTGTTTTGCTGGATGAAAAGGTTATTCCTAGCATTGGAAGACTTCTTGTATATTCAGACTATAAAGTCCATGCTACTTTTAGGGATGGAATCACCTTGAATATGGTTTGGGATTTCAGCTCTGGTTGTAGAAAGATTCAGGTAACTTATGGCTTATACACTACTCTTAAAACTCTTCATTAAAAAGTGTTATTAGGAAACTAATGGGGTAAGTAAATCAAGAGTTTTTCTGTCTATAAAATACAAACTGAGCTCTTTTGATAGAGTCGTGATTCAAAGCAGTTTTCTGCCATGGCTTGCTATCAAGCTAGTATAATAGGCATAGAACTACACAGCACATAAAGACAGCAAAATGGATTGTGAGTATTTTACCCAGAAACTGAGGAGGAAAAATACTTTAGTGTATAATTCATGCCTGAAAGATAAATAAAATTGTATCCTTTTAAAAAGTCACTCATATCAGTGTAAGAAGGTGGTGGTGGTGGTCCTGGTGTTATTTCAAAATATCTATAATTGAGCAACTGAATAGTGAAAAATTGCTCAGGAGTAGCCTTGTGGATATGAAATTACATATTTTTTTTAATATTTTTTTTAATCTACTGAATAATGAAGTAAAAAGATAATGATGACTTTTGCGCTACAAAGTGGTGAAAATGGCAATGGTGGTAAAATGGCAATACAGAGAAAATTATGTCATAGTGGAATTTAAAGTTGACTGCTGAGACTTTTGGCTTCCATCTCTTTGCTTTTACCCTATGGTGACTAGACACAAAAAGATGTTCCTGAGGATATGTGTACTATAAACAATAAAAGTGTGATACTTAGCCTCTTAAAAGATATTGTAACTTTATGATGTGAGCCAGCTCAAATCTGTACACTCATTAATGATAAACGTAGGAAGAAACTAAAGTACTACAGGTTTGGAAACATCCCTACACATTATTGGAAATATCTCAAACAGCACAAAAAACAGTGTTTGTCTATGCCAGGTTTTCCTTTTTTTCCCCCCATATCTGTGATAGCAGAATATAAGCAACTTATAGCAAAACACAAACTTTAAAGTGGAGTGTTCACAGATAATTTAATTTTTAAATTAGCAAATGTTATTCACTTGCTTTTTTTTTCTTTTCTTTAAAGCAGAAAATTAATACTAATTTTTTTTTCCCTTCTAAGGTAAATGAAAATGTAGGTTGGTGTAAGCTAACTACTCCTGATGGGGTACAGCAGCTGATAAAAATAAGTCATCCTGGAATCTATGAAAGGTATAAGTAGTTTAAATAATTTATAAGTAAAGAACTCTAAGCAAACCCTTTTATATGTAGAAATGTTTTTTTTTTTTTCTGGAAATACATCAGAGGAAAAAAAAAAAAGCCCAAATACATAATGATAAAAAACACATATCTGGCTAAGATTCAGGAACTGTATGACTCAGGATCACTGCATTCAGTCATTCCAGTATAATTGTTATGGAAATGTAATGTCTTTAAAAAAAAATAAAATCAGCCAACCTCAAACTAGAGCTCCAACTTGGCACTTAAATCAGTGAGTAAGCAAAAAAAATATCTTTGTGCTGTATAAAGCTGGCATCTAGAGCTGAAAAGCACTTTATCCAATTTTTGCTTTATTACAGATATTGACCTCTGCCTACAGACTGCTTTCTCTAATCTGCTTGCTCTAATTGCAGTCTTATTATGCAAATCATCAGAAGCTTACTCTGCTGCATTTCAGCAAGCAGATATGCACACACAAAAAATAACATTTGTACACTATTCATTTCAAATCAGATGGCTTTGTTATAATTTTCTGTGACTCTATAGATTTAAATATGAAGGATATTCTTTTTTAAAAGTGTGAATCCAAAAAGGGCAAAGAAACATAGGGAAAAGGCTAGACTTTTAGTCATGTTTTTTGCTGAATCCAGATTCATTGCTTAATGCTTTTTTTGTTTGTTTGTTTCTATCTTGAATTAACAGTGTGTTTCTCATCTAAATAACTTTTTTTCATGTTAACAGATACATCACAACAGTAATAGAATGGTGCAGAAGTTTGAATGAAAGCAAAGAGACTCCTGAACATACCGCACACTCTGTAACTGAAGAAAATTGGTACTCATTTTTATTCTAAATAATGTTGAAAATAAAACTCAAAAAGACTATAAACTCTGAATTTTATAGACAGCATTTCCTAAGGATCCAAAAAGAAAACTGTAAATCCTTTTATTTTGTGTGACTTCATATTTCTCTGTTGGAACTTAAAATGTACAGTAAGTTGAATTCTAGGTGAAGTTTATTTTATGTTGCTTCTGCTTCACCTAAAAATAGAATTATGGTGACCTTGCCAAATATTACTATAAGATTAATGTTATAGAAATAATATCTTGCAAAGTGAAAATGAGAAACTAAACTAAGAAAGGCAACTTTTAACAGAACGGCAAGCTGTCCAAAATAGTACTTTGAACTTTTAAATGACACCTGGACCTGTTATGTATTTGTCCTTCTTAATAAATGCTACTGACCAAAGGTCTAGTGACATCATGTAGTTACATAATCAGATATTACAAATGTGATATATGAATCTCATTACAGATTCACTTATCACATTATAGCAGATGCAGTAGATGGAGTAGATGGTGAAACAAAAATGTTATCTATATATACACACATAAATATACAGCAAAGAGTCTATTTTTAGAGATGAGCCTTGATTTTTAGAAAACAAATGATTAACAAATGCAGCCATTGGCTAGTAGTATGAAAAAAATGCTTTTTTTTGCTTAGAGTTCTCTTTCTAATTTTCTGTATTTCTGAGAATTGAAATTAAAATCTGGTGTACAAAAGTACAGTTGAGAAGCTTTTTAGATACTATGATAAAAATCTTTATTTTCTTGGACAGGTCTGCTGATGCTGAGCTTGAAAAAATACAGAGATTTAACTGTATCCTTTTGAAAGCTGTGAAGATTTTTACTTTGATATTCTGTTGTTCATCTGTATACTCAGACCTGCATTTTCAGAACATCAGAAGCTCTCTATTCTGTTCTCACCTGCTTTTTACTGCTTTACCTGATTCTTAAAGCACCTTTTTAAGTCACTGTTTTCTCATTAATCTTGTTCAATTCCTTTACAACAGCACTAGCAATAAGAACAGAGTACAAAATAAAATAAAAACATTAACAAAATAGGGAATTCCCATAATGAGTATTGAAGTTCACCATTTATTATATATAATATATATACTATGAATAGATTATATATTAATTCCACTAAAACCATCTGCTAATCTGTTCTTGAAAGAGGGATGGTACAATTGCCTTTTGGCATGTTGTTGCAGTAAAATGCTGTCTTATTTATCACCTACCTCAGGATTGTCCAACCAGCTCACAAAGTATGCAGAGTATGCAGTGCCTTTTTTTTTTTTTAAAGGGAGTGTAAAACTCTCTTTATGCTGGCTTTTAATTTTATTAGGATGAAAAAACATACACGCTATGAAACTTTGCAATGTAACATCAGTTTCCTTTAAATTAACTATTGGGCAAATAGAAGCCTTAGTTAAAGACATTTTCTAGAAACATTAGCATTTTTTAGTTTTATGTAATTACTGTGGTATGAAATGTGAGCCTCTGTAATGCAGAATCATGATTATGATACGGCAAAGCGTTTTTCTCGTTATTAGGAGGAAGGCTTTGAATTTTTCTTGACAAACTCATGCTAGATATATTGGATAATAGCAATGTTCCACAAAGGACAGCAGCTGCAAAAAACAATCCATCTACAATTGCTGTTGGAAAAACAGAGAATAGAACTGATACTGAAGAACTCAATGAAGGGTGCATCTTGGAGGCTTTGGAAAAAACCTCTAAAATAATTCAAGATATTGAATCTCTGCTTGCTGCTTCTGGGAAGTGAAAATCTGTAATACATTGTATCCTCCAAGGAGCTGTCCCAGCTATGTCTGAAGAGGCTTTGAAGTATAAGAGGGATGAAGGATGAGACGGCAGCAATTAAATGCCTTGCCAGACAAATTACATGTGTAATTTGTTATTGTAATACCACAGTTGTATAATGTGGATAGGCAAAAATTAGGGGCCAAATAGTGGGGCACCACTTGGTAAATGAGAGATCTGACGTGACATTGCTACGTCTGAGTGTATGAATGTCTGTTCAAGTTGTGTAGCTTTGTAGAGGTTTGTGTGACCAACTTGGTTAGAACTTACCAGGGTAACTTGGGGGGAGGCATTTTAATGGTAAAAACATGCTTTTGTCCAGAAACTGACACCAAGTAGTTAAGTATTAAAGTCACCCCAATGACTCCATATTGAATAAAGTTGCCCACAAGATTTATACCTATTGTTTTCTAATAAAAGGCGTGGTTTTAGTCAGTACTGTTGTGGTTTTTTTTGTTGTTGTTTTATGCGTGGTCAGTCACTAGCCTTTCAGCATTAGGTTTTTGTTTGTTTGTTTTGTTGTTTTTGTTGTTATTTTACTCAATCTCCTCAGGAATACTCAAAAACCAGTCAGTAACCACTCTGGGTTTCTCTGCAGCCCCAGTTCCCACTCCCTTCACCCCAGCGCGGGGCTGGCTGAGGAGGAGGAAGAAAAAGAGGATGTGATACATGGAGTAAGGAGGAAGGTTAATTGGGAAAAGTCTCACCACCACAAATTTTAGTAAGCCCTTATCAATCAAATTTGATGTATGTGATGACTGTAATCCAGTGAATTTTACTATTTTGAATCTGGGTGAGTTAAAGCAGAGGAAAGAAACCCAATATTGAATTGCACTTGGAGGAAAGGGAAAAGATCCTGGGACTACTAACAATCCCGTGCTTACTTCCTTGTATTACATTACTGAATGCAGTTTATCACAATCCCGGTGGAATGTCCTCAAGAAGACAGAGTCTTTCTTATGGTTCAATTGGCCTCGGCCAAATTTGAAGCCAAGACAAGAATTAATGACATTCAAAAGAAGAGGAGGGAGTGTGATCTATGGAGTAATAATTCATGTCAAGAAAATGGTTGATGTTAATAAAGAAGGGGGAGATGTGGGAGTGTGGCCATGGGGGTCGGCAAGCCCCATGGTTGGTGGTAACATCAGACTCTTAACAATGAGACCATCAGGAATGTAAAAGAGTTTAGAGTTTAGAGGGCACAAAGATGGGTGATTCAGGAGAGGCCATGCCTTCTGGGGTTGCTTATTCTGCAGCCGTTAAGGCATGGAAGTTGCTGGGGGTTTGCTGTTGCCAGGCAAAGTTGTTTGACCGATGGAAAGTTGTTGGAAAAGGATTGCTGCAGGGCGAAGGGTGTTAGAGGGGAGCCCGTCCTCAAGATGGAAAGGCAACATGATGTGATGAAAAAAGGAATGAAAAGAAACAGGCTGGCAGAAAGGAGACCAGGACAGGAACAGGCACACTGATCGCCTCATGAAGATAGGTTCGGCCAAACTCAGCAAACTGCTCCAAGAGGCTCGCACAGAAAGTTGCTGGAAACAGGCACTGGAGCTGGGAAGAAGCTCAAGCTGAGACAAGCGGAGCCACGCACACAACTGACCCTCTGGTAATCAGCTGCGCATTATGAGGAATCACACGTCCTTAGGAACAAGGACTGTCCTGGTAACCTTGCAGCTTATTTCCTTTATTAACAACCAGACAGTTTATGATCCTGAAATATGGGACCAAATTGATGTCAAGGTGTGGGACCTACTAAAAACGACAAGGTTGCGGTGGGATTGCTTGGCACCGGGGAGCAATCTCTGGGGCCTTACAGTCAGACGTGTGGGTTGCCAGGCAGTGAGGGAGCTGCGGGCTCGGCCACCGATCCTGCTCTGCACAATCAGCCCCCGCCACTACTGCCTCTGCAGGCCTTCGCTGCTCCCATGACTACCCCTGGAATTCTCTGGTGATAGTAATCAAGAAAAGGAATGGAAAATGGAGGCCATTATATGGTCTGAGAGAAACTAGTGAAGTCATGGAAGATATGGGAGCACTTCAACCAGGATTACCAACCCCAACAGTGAGCCCACTCGTGGACATTAATAGTAATAGACTTAAAGGATTGTTTGTTAAATACTTGCCTTTTAAAACCTTGCCATGCTTATGTTTCAATTGATACCTTTCTGATTGTACATATGTACAGGCGTACTGGGGTTTCTTATGAATCTGTAAAAGCAATGTTCTGTGTTTTTAGAAGGTTCGATGTTCGTGTGTGCGTGTTGGTAGAGCACAGACTCCCCGCGCACTCAGCGCTGTTTAATCGCCTTTTATAAATATGACTAAGTTCAGACTGAGTTGCAGCTGCATTTTTAGCAGAGGAGAAACAGAAAGAGAAGGAGGAGGAGGAGGGCGCCGCGCTCCCAGCCTGCTCCTCGGCCGCGCATGCCCGCGGGCCCGGCGGCGGCCCGGCGCCCGCCTCCGCTTCTCCTCATGAGGCGGAGGCGGGACGGGGCGCCGGGGGCTGCCGGCGGCCGCCGCTCCTCAGGTGGGCGCCGGGGCCGGCGGGAGGCTGGGGCTGCTCCTCGCCGCCCCGAGGCGGGTTGGGGGGTCCCGGTGTGCCGAGGGGGCCCCGCGGGCAGCTGCCGGCCTTTCGGAGGGGCGTCCCCGGAGGGAGCTGCGGTGTCTGCGGGCGGCTCGTCAGGCGTAGCCGCCGGGAGGGCAGCGGGAGCCGCCCCGGCTCCCAGCTTGGCGTCCGTCACGCTCCTGACTGCGGGGTTTTTGCCCTAAAGGGGGCTGCATTCGTGCTCCCTGAGGGCCGAGGAGAGGTCTGCGGGGAAGCCGTGGCTGCTCTGCCTGGAAACAAAAGGGTGCCCCCACCTCCGGGCAGCCCCCTGGCTTGGCGTGTCTGCCCGCCGCGTGCTCGGCCTCCCTCAGCCCCAGTGCCCTTACACAGCACGGCAGTGCTGTAGTCTTAAATTGGATTAGCTGTTTATGGCCCAAATGGCATAGTTGTAATTAATTAGGGTGATAAATAAACCGTACTTTTTTTTTTTTTTTTTTTGATGCCGGATGACAAATTAAATTTTCCTCCGCTGTCTCGCACTGCGGTTCGTCTCCAGCTGCTGCATACTTTTGGGATATTCCTTTCAACTCTTTCCTTCCCCTCAAATTCCTCTCAGCTCCGAAGTGCTGTTGGCGGAGCAGGGATGCATGTTGGTAGCTTGGGAGGGCTCTTCGCGAGCACTTTGACTTGCGGTCCCTGAAAGAAACAATTTAATTAAAAAGTGCTCATTCCTCGTTTTGTGTTTTATTGCTTGCTCACTTCTTTGTTTGTTTGTTTCCTCCTTTGTTGCTTTGTTCCTTCTTTGTTGCTTTTAATTCGGTTCGTTCCTCAGTATTGTGGTGGAATTCTGCAGATGTCTTGTGAGCTTTTGTCTGCTTTCCTCTTTGACCTGCTCCAACCCTCTGAGCCCTATAATGCATTATAATTATCAGACACAAAATATTTGCATTATTAGTCCTTCGCAGATCGTTCTGTGCTCATACCTGCTTTTCCAGGAGGTAACGCGTTAACACTTTGAGCATGTGTCTTAAAGAGTAATACTATTTTATGAAGTTTTTCATATAGATTAATATCCGCTATTAAATGATATTCTTGAGGAGATTATGGAACTCTAGGGGATCACTGTGATCTTTTGACTTCTTGTATAAAACAGATGATAGAACTTTAGACATTTAATTCCTATTTGCATTCATGTATTTTGTTAAATTGTAGCAAAAATTTTGGAGAGCAATAACATTTCTAAATGCTACTTTTAGCCATTGGATTTTTATTTTGCTCTTATGCCAGGAGATTGAAGGCATTTTAGTGTCAGGTGTTTCCCTGAATGCATATTTGCAGCTTTAATATAAATATCTTATTGCGTCAGTAATTTACAAAGACAACTATGCATTTGTTGAAATTAGTTTTTTCATGTTTCCATAAAAGAAATCAAATATATCTGTAAAATTTAATTTGGGGAGTATAGACAGATTATACCGAATGCTGTATCCCATATAAAAATGTCATGAGCAATGACAGCTCGAAACAGCGCTACTATATCAACTGTCATGTGCATGTGTTTCATGTAGACCCACCCTAAATCTTCAGCATGTTAGCTGGACTGACCATGCATAGACTTTATTTAATTTATTGATTTCTTTGATTTATTTAGGCACAGGAAAAACTGCGTTTTGTCTTCCCTGCACTGGACTGGACTGGATTCAGCAAGCGGAGACACTCAACTCTAAGGCATAGACCACATTTTCTACTGGAATAAAGCAACTGCAATGGGAAAAAATGTATTCTCCTAGTTCCATGGTAAGTTTGGCTCCAAATATCAATGTGTTTTTTAAGGCTATGTTGCTACATCAGTTCTCACCAGATTGTATTCTTTGTATTCTAACACAGATTTTATGATAATTTTAAATAAAATCCAATCTGTCATGGTGCCTTTGTAAAAGAAACATTTTTTGAGGATATTGTGATTTGTTCCTTCAAAAATAATTTATTCAGAAATATGCAGTATATTGTAAATCACTCCTCAAAAAATGACAGTTCCAGTGTTTCAGGAAATATTTTGTATATTTATTCAGAAGAGGCGCAGTCGTGGTTAACAGGCTTTAAACTTGACCCACTTCTTTTCATGTGTATGCAAAGACCATGTATTATTCATGCTTTCTTTTCTCTTTTTAACCTTTTCCAAGTAAATCCTTCAGTGACTTTTTTTTTTTTCTGTAAAGATTAATGCCAGTAGTCATGTCTTGTGGATAATTTTACAATAAATAGGCATGTAAATAAGCTAGAAAAAAACATTTTATATTTTCTGGAGCTTATGATTAATAATGATTAAAATTCGAAAATACTGTCAATCGATGTTGTTAGAAGTGTTCATTTATAAAGAAGGTCTGATACATTCTGAAAATGCATATTTAGAATAAAAATGTACCTGGTATAACTACTAAGAAAGGAATTATCAAGATTTAATGTATTGCAAAGAAATAGCAGTGTCTTAGGATGCAGGCTTTGAAACTGCTCTATCACAGAACCACAGAGCAGTTTGGGTTGGAAAGGCACTTAAAGATCACTCAGTGCCAATGCCCTGCCATGGGCAGGGACACCTCCCAGCAGACCAGGTTGCTCAAAGCCCCATCCAGCCTGGCCTTGAGCACTGCCAGGGATGGGGCTACACAGAAGTAGAGAACATTGTAGTAGCTGGATAGTTAGAACTGATACTGTGCTTTAAAGTCTGCTTTTCGGTGCCTGTTTAACAACACAAAGCTAGGGAATACATCGATTATATGTGTGTTTCTTAACATGTATGTTTCTTTTTTCTTTTTCTTTTTTTTATTTAGTGTTATCATTAAAATGAGTGCTCTGTCTTTATAACCCAGGTATGTTGTAGTTGCTTCTGTGGTGAGGTCCTTTTGGACCTCAGATTCCTTTTGAAATTTCTTTTGAGGTGTCAACCATTTTTTTAAGGTCAGGGTAATTATTCCCAGAAATAATCTTGTGCAAGTGGGTTTCATAACAATTACGTAAGCATAAATATTGTTTAAGGACTTTTAAGTGATTATTAATACTTATAGCAATGCCTTTACTTTCAACTTACAGTGGTCAGCTCTTGAAAGCTAAAATGACTGGGATTAGTTCTTTTATAAGTTCTGCAGAAAGAGCTGTTCTGAAGGTAATGTGACAAATAGTAGAGGGGTCCTAGAAGTATCCATAGAGTTTGCTGCTGGAATGCTAAGGAGGTAGAGGTAGCATATGTAGTTTCACTCTGTAAGAAGTTAGTTTTGGTTACCTCTGCTTGATTGAAGGGTGTTGTCTTTTTGTGTTTATTGTCAACAGTGAGGATATTATGGTGTTTCTGGAGTTCTTAATGCTTATTCTAATTGCGAATCTTATTTACCCTGGAATAAACAAGGAATAGCTCAGAGAGGTGTACCATGGCAATAATAAATATGTTTACAAACTATGAAAGATATTGAAAATATAGATTAGAAATTTGTTTTTAACTGTTCTGGCATATTTGAGATTTTTTGAGCATCAGTTCCAAGGATACTTGAAACTGATTTTTTTTGTCCTATTGTTATAGCGGAACTGATTTAATTTGATGAATATCATGAATTTAAGGCCAGGAGGAATCTTGAAGGATATTCAGTGTCTTATCATAGACATAACTCAAGTTATTTTGTGAAACTGCATTTCAAAAAGCGGAGTTAGAGCTTTCTGTGTTACGAAGGTGTGTTTGCTGATTGGAACAGGACAAGCATTTTAATTCAGAGTTGTCACCTAAATGAACTTGATTAAAATCAAAGCTTCCGTAGGAATATTAAATGCAAACATTGTTTTCTTGTGCTTATTTGTAGCTGTGATGACAAATGCTTTCTACTAATGACTTTTTTCTTCAATACTTTGTTCTTTCTGACATTTGCAGAACAACTGAAGATACGTGGGACAATGCACAGTGTATATCCTGATAACATTTTGTGTGCTGTGACGTGGTCTTTGCCATGGCGTCTGAGACTGAAAAGGCCCATGCTCTCCTCCAAACTTTCAGCACAGCTTCAGTTATTTCTAGTCTAGGTTTGGGAGTATTCTGCTTTGTTGCAGACAAGCTTCTGCAGTTTTCCTTCATTCAGCAAAACGACTGGCTCCGAGCCTTCTCTGATAATGCAGTGCATGGTATACTAGGAATGTGGTCCTGGGCGATAGTGATCGGACTCAGGAAGAAAAGCGACTTAACGGAAGTCACCCTGGCTGGCTTCCTTGCCTCCGTCATCGATGTGGACCACTTCTTCCTTGCTGGCTCCCTGTCATTAAAGGTAAGTGGATAGGTGGGTGGCAGCTTATTTTTATTGTTCATCTACGGTATCCTAAACAACAACAACAAAATGATACTTTGATTAGATGCATTTTAAAAAGATATGCGGGAATTCATATTTTTATACAATTGTTATGATTTTAAAATGAAGAAATACCACATTCCCTGTTAAGTTCTACCCCTTACGAGGCTCTGAAAAAGTTCTGAAAGCCTCTTTCCATGGTATCCTATGGTTATCCAAATATGGTTCTTTGGTTATCCGAATTAACATTTAACTGCTGCCACGCACGCTTTTGTGTATGAAGTGGATTATTCCATTTCTGTGTACAGTAAGGAGTAGAAATCTAGAAAACAGATCATCCAGCTGATGTTTTGTTTCATTCAACAACTCATACTGAGCAGTAGGAGGTTTGTTTTTAGTCAACTCTATAAACATTTCTCCCACAAACCAGCAATATGTGTATAGCCTGTTCACCTTTAAAAAGAAAAAATAATCTGAGATTGTCCTTAAATATAGTTGGTTGTAAAAGAAATCAAGCAAGTGTCAAACTTGTTAATAAAATGAAAAATGTGAATTGGCTCCTGCTAAGGAATATATGTGAATATATGCCTAACAGGCAGTTTGCAGAACTGCCTGTTAGGACACCATTTATCAGTACAATGAGTTTACTAGGTTGTGGTGTTTTTTCTCAGGGGTTCTCCTGTGGTTTTGGTGTGTCGTGTGCCCACTTCCCTGCTGACACACGTACATATATCCCTGTGTGCTCCAACCACCTGTTCTCAGCTTTCCCTGAAACAACACTCTGTTCTGCAGGCTCTCCAAAACACTTGCTCCATCCAGAAGCTCTGGCTGTACCAGCTTATGGTCCCCACCCCTACAGCCATGCCACTCGGCTCCTAACCAGGCATTGCTATGGTGTTGCTAGCATATATATGCGTAGGTGCTACTTTGTACAGAAGGGGAAACTTTTATTTATTCAACCGGAGCATAAGTTGTTCCATGGTGTCCTGTTCTTTCTTCTCCTGCTTGCTCAGACTAGTGTTAAGCTGTTCACACGGATGACAGAGGGCATAATTCTTAGGACACAGGCAGGAGAGGAAGGAAAGAGGTGGAGAGGAAATTGCTGTTCTTTGCAATCCTTTCAATAAAGAACTACAATCCAAAATGTTTTACCTTTTCTTTAAAAATATGTGCGAGAGAGAGATACATGCAAGAAACATTGTTTATAGTTGAGATGTAAAAAAAATCAGACTTCCAGTGGGAAAACAGATTTTTTTATTTGTGTACAGTATCAGTATTTATTGTAAATAAAATATGTTTTCCTACTGGTAAGTTTGATGGACCTTCTGATATGATCAGTTCTATTCCTCTTTGACAAAGAGGATGTTTTCACAGCATCACGGGGTGGCTGAGGTTGGAAGGTGCTTCTGGAGGCCACCTGGTCTGACCCCTGCCCAGGCAGGGACACCGACAGGGGGCCCAGGTCCTTGTCCAGGTGAATTTTTAGGAAGGAGAGTCCACAGCCTCTCTGGGCAGCCTGTGCCCAGGCTCCATCACCTGCGCAGCACAGAGGTGCTTCCTGACATTCAGAGGGAGCCTCCTGTGCTCCACTTTGTTCCTGTTGCCTCTGTTTTGTCATCCTGGCACTGAGCCCCACTGAAAGAGTCTGGCTCTGTCCTCTCTGCACCCTTCCTTCAGCTATTTTTAGACCTTGATGAGTGAGACCTGCCCCCTTCAGCCTTTTCTGCTCCAGGCAGAACAGCCCCAGATTTCTCAGCCTTTCCTCCAGCAGGGAAGGCTCCTTCAGTCCCGTAGTTACCATGGTGGCCCTTCATCGGATGTGGTTTTCCATAGCTCCACCTCTCCCGTGTGCTGGGGGGCCCGGAGCTGGGCACGATACCCAGAGGTGGCCTTATGAGTGCTGAGGAGAGGGGGTGAATCGCTTCACTCTGCCTGCTGGCAGCGCTCCTCGGTGCAGCCCAGGACACCTCTGGGCTTCTCTGCAGCACGGGCATGCTGCTGGCTGCTGCTCAGCTCCCTTCCACAAGGACACCCGGGGCCTGCCCTGCAGAGCTGCTTTCTGCACCAGCTGTACCCACCCAGCAGGTGCTGGTGCCTGGGGTGTTGCTTCCCTAGGTACCCCCGCTTCTCCCCTCTCCTGTACTTTTTGCAGGTGGAAATGCCATACAATTAGAGAACTAGATAAGCAAACTTTCCTTTTTTTTTTTTTTTTTAATGAGTCCTGTAATGCTGACGTTTTAGTACAGCATTTAAACATAATCATTCTCACATTTATTCTTTATTTTAAAATCGTAAGCACAAGTAATGAGGGACTAAAAAGTTATAGAAAACATTAAAATGTTCTTGCAACTTTTTCCGGTACTCATCACGGGTATTTTTTCTCAATGACGACTAGATGGCGCCCTTAATCAGTGCGAGTTGAGAAAGTCGGGCGTTGTGTTGTGGGACTGGGAGGTGACCTGCCTCCCTGCTGCCCCCAGCGAGGCAAGGTTAAATGTGCTTACACTATCCGTGATGGAGAATGTTTGTGTAGGCTGCCCCTTGTGTCCCAAACAAAGGTAATTGTTGGAATTATATCAGTTAATTTCTTCCTGTGTTTTTTTCAGTTTCCAAGCAGCTGTATATATATATATTTTTTATTTATTTTTTTTTTTTCTAGTATTGAACCTAAATTACCGATGTTGATGGTTAGATTTCGTTTTCTTTAATGCCTGTCTGGAAAAGATGTCCGGATGCTGTGCTCTCTCCATTTTTTTTTATTTTTTATTTTTTTTTTAATTAGGAATACAAGCACAGCATGCAGAAGAGTAGCCCTTGAGTAGCCACACTTACATAGCTGAAATAAGGAGAAGGCAAGATGCCCAAAGGCCCTGTCAAAGTCCCTTGCCTACCTAACTCCACTCTCCTTTGTATGTTAATTGGGTTAATAAAGGATATTTACCTGTAAACTGTGTCCTGTTTAGGTTTCTAAATCAGGGGTGTAGATCTGTAACAGTGTGATTTTTGCAACTTGAATAGACATTCTGCTTTACAATAAGTCTCTTAACTAAGTAACTCACTGAGTAAAGGCTGGAGGACCTGGATTTATGATTTCTAAATGTCCTGCCACTTTTCTGGTCTCCTCTGAATTGCCTCTTGCTTAAATTGTCTTTAAAGGGCCCTGTCCCAAACCACATACAGTATTTTAACAAAAATAGCCTAAATTTGAGCTAAGTTGTTTGTTTAATTCTTTTTGCTTCCAAATACATACAATTTTGTCTTTTTTTAAACAGCATAAAAATCCTGCTATGGGTTTTGTGTCTTCTTGCAATGCCAGCAGTCTTTTTAGTTTGTGATCTAACCTAATCCCCATAAAGTTTTCTGCTGTGTTGTTGCCTGGCTAGCTAGACCTGATTTTAATGTGTGATTTTTTCTTTCCTCAGCTTAATATGATGCGACTTTTGGTTTTGTGTCGTAATTTCAGACTGTTGCCTGTATGATTTATTACTTACTACCTTTTTACTGCTTATTTGTTAGTCCCAGTCTCATTCTCCCTTACCAGATTGCAGGACTGAGACTAACTGTTTTACGAGACTACAGCATTTGTTGCTTATGCAACATATTGCTGAGAAACTAATAAATTAAGAAATCTAATTAACTAACCACTCCACTGTTACTAATTTATAACAGTAGTACTTTTTACATTGCTATACACAATTAATTATCATGCTCTTAATCACAACTATTAAATCTGATGATGGGTTACTTTATTGAAGTAGCTCTTCAGTGCAGCACAAGGCAGTATTGCCATTACTGCAGGTTGCTACCTACAGACTCCTCTGCTTGTTCCTGCTGACACTGCTTGTTGCTTGGACTATTTGGCTAGTGGGCCGCTTTTCACAATTTCATCATTATTTTTTCTGGAGTATTCAGGGTAAATAGTCACCTGCAGTCCTTACGTTTACTCTGACAAATACTTGTGTACCGAGCAGCATGTGATCTAACCTTTTGCCCACATTATTTTTGGCAATAAATATGAAGTCTACAAAGAATTTGCTGGTTGGAATTTGTACCTCTGTGTATTCCAGATTTGCACACAAATGTATAAAGTCTATGAACCAGTGCTCAGTCTCACTGACTAGCTCTAAGTGAGGAAGTTTCTGCAGCCTGCCGTTGCTTTCAGCTTGGCTGATAAACAAGAGTGGCGTGAAGGGTTGGATGTGGTACAGGCGTGTCTTCAATGACAAGAGTCCCCCAGGCCTGTAGTCCATCCACCTGGGGATGTTGTACTTTTTGTGGGGTGTTTGGATGTTGTAAGGCAGGAAAGGAATATACTATTTATTTATTTATTTATTAAGATCTCATCGTGATTTCTAAAGGGCGAGTAATTTGGTAGGAGAAAGAATGTAACAGCTTATATTGCCAAACAGATCTACATCTCCCTCTCTTGGGCTTGGCAACTTAAGGATGTGAATGTTGATCTAGTTACAGAATGTAAAAGAGAAAACAGGACATCCTCTCAGAACTTGGGCAACAGCATTTTGGAAGCCTGATGACAGTACTGCAATTACAAAAATATATATGTTTTAGCTTCTTGCTGACAGTAACACAAATCTGATTGTCTTTGTAGGGTAGGTGATAGACAGTTTCACCATCACAAGATCTTCTACCTTTAATCCCTGAACAATAAGCTCATATGAAACAAAAACAGATTTGCTGAAAATGTACCCATTGCAGCAACTTAAAGAAGTTGGGTCTATACCTCTAAAGTTGTTGCAATTTCATCATTGTTGTTTTTTTATTTGTGAGCTTTTTAGTCCTGTCACCTAAACAGGACTAAGCTTAGTCACTACATTGTGACCTAAGAGTGTCACAAACAAGCATGTGGGAATCTAATGGAGCAAAGCTTAGGCAAGTGAAATATATGTAACTTCAGTATTTTTTGTTGAATTGGAAATTTCTGGCTTGACAGCATTTAACAGAGAAGAGTACGACTTCACAGGTATTAACAAAAGTATAATTTTTGAGAGTAAATGCCAATGAAGCACATTAGATGTTCCAAGTGTATCGTATGGTTGGTCTCCTTCCCATTGTTGTGAAATTAAATATATATAATCGGTGCAGCACACTGTGCAGGTTCCTGTTTGCTGTGTGACTAGATGACAAACAGCATACCTCATCCCTCTCGCTTCCTCTCCTGCTGCTAGTACTGCTCAGTAGGGTGCATGATTCATGTCACAAAATAGAGAAAAGCCTGTCCCAGCACCCTCAGCCCTGCTGCTGACAGGACAGCACAGAGCTCTGACACATCTGGGTGTTCGTATGGTTGGCTTTGAATAGCCACAGCGGGAAGGAATGGTATGTTTATCTTTGCACTTCCACTCAGCCCCTTGGTAATACACCTGTAAACATCCATGAAACCTTTTTTTTGCTTGTCGTGATTGTAGCCATTGCCAATTATATTTTTCTTTTCTGCAGGCTGCTCTGAATCTTCCCCAGAGACCACTTCTCCACTGTTCTACTGTGATTCCTGTTGTGGCTCTGACATTAAAGTTTATTATGCACCTTTTCAGGCTTAAAGACTCATGGTGCTTTCTTCCTTGGATGTTGTTCATATCCTGGACTTCTCATCATGTTCGTGATGGGATTCGTCATGGCCTCTGGATCTGCCCATTTGGAAAAACTCCTCCTTTGCCATATTGGCTGTATGTGGCAATAACAGCATCTTTACCTCATCTGTGTTCATTTATTATGTATTTGACGGGCACTAGAGAATTAATGTCTATAAAACACGGGATTCACATTGATGTGTAAGGATGATAGGTCTGAAGTTTTTCGTATTAGCAGTTGAAATGAGCTGTGTTTGTCACTAATATGGTTTCCTTATGTTCCCTGTTAATTCCAAGTTAGGCATTTGAAGCCTGTGGAGCCAGTTACAGCTCCCATGTCGATTTGCTGTGGTCACAGAAACCTACTCTATAAATGCTAATAATTTCATATTTATACATTCCCCTTGAAAAATATGTGGTCATTATCATTCATGTATAGCTAACTAATTTATGAAGCACTTGGTCTCTCTGTAGTAACTATGTTACACTTTGCTGTCATCATGCCATTCACCTGATCACCATTCACTCCAGATTTGTATTCTGGCTACATTTTGTCTGGACAGCATTTGTATAGCACTTTAAAAACATAAAGTACTATATAGATGCTAAGTATTATAGCGTAGCAGTGTGTGCCACTTCTGAAAAACATCAGTTAGCCTTTTGAGGTGATTTATTTGTTTTTCTGCTGGACTCTTGTATTCAGTAGTTTTTGTTTGTTTGTTTGTTTGTTTAAATGCTTTTTTTTACTTCAAAAAGTGAAGCTGTGAATCTGCACCTCGTTCAACACGAACTGCCATAATACAGTGTTTACACTAAATTCTGTTCTTCTGTAGTTGCTGGATACTCAGTTTGCAGGCAATTAGACAACGGAAAGAAGACAGTTTGATTACAATGTTATGTGAGTCAACAAGAGTGCTTGATTTAAAATACATTAATTATGAATATTTAATTTGGAACTAAGGAATTCTAGTAAATATTTAAGGACTGTTTAAAGGCAAACTTGCTAATTACAATGATGTGTAAGCTTTACAGAAGATTCTGGAAGGTATAAGAAAATAAAAATTGCTTAAAATGTGAGTTTGGTCTTACTACCGTACATACATAGCATTTTTCCTGAAGTGCAACATCATCCTTACTGCAAAATAAAATGCATTATTATTACACTGAAATAGAAATTTCAGGAAAAAAAAAAGTTTCAGAAAAAGTCACAAAGTAAAAGTTTAGTTCTTGTCTAGTTTTTGGTGTACAACCTCAGCGAGTTTGCTGGTGGCACCAAGCTGTGTGGTGTGGTCGACAAGCTGGAGGGCAGGGATGCCATCCAGAGGGACCTGGGCAGGCTTGAGAGGTGGGGCTGTGGGAACTTCATGAGGTTCAATAAGGCCAAGTGCAAGGTCCTGCACCTGGGCCAGGGCAATCCCAAGCACCAATACAGGCTGGGCAGAGGATGGATTGAGGGCAGCCCTGAGGAGAAGGACCTGGGGGTGTTGGTTGAAGAAAAGCTCAGCGTGAGCTGGCAATGTGCGCTTGCAGCCCAGAAAGCCAACCCTGTCCTGGGCTGCACCAAGAGCAGTAAGGACAGAAGGCTGAGCAAGGTGATTCACCATCTCATTGTCCTCATGAGGCCCCACCTGGAGTCCTGCACCCAGCTCTGGGGCCCCCAGCACAAGAAGGACACGGAGCTGTTGGAGCTAGTCCAGAGGAGGGCCAGGAGCATGAGCAGGGGCTGGAGCACTTCTGTGAGTACAGGCTGAGGGGCGAGGGGTTGCTTTTGGTTTTGTTTCACTGAGCTCCGTTGCCTGCTAAGGAGATGGGGTATTAATTTCCCCAGTTGATGAATAGCTGACAAAAGGGAGTAATTCCATGGAAAAGCATAGATAGGCTATCAGGTGCTGAACTTTATCAAAGGGTGCAAAGATCAGGTGATGTGTTTATGTTTAGCATTACTTAAATTATACTACATTTACGTTAGTAAATACATATTAGTAAAAAGTACTAAAAATAAGAAAATATGACCTGTGCTGACTGGCTTAATGGGTACCAGGGACCTTCTGTGCAAAGTTGTAAAGGTTCTCTGCAGCACACTCAGCAATGCATGGAAAATGTTACACCATCTCAAACTGTGCCTTCCCTCAACAAGAATAGTCTGCCTGTTTGTTCTGTGTTTTAAACTACAGGTTGTGAAATGCCAGTAATAAAAATCTTTTGTGCAAGAGTGGGTACAAGTCACTGTAAAAAGTTATATATTCTTGTTTCATAATATACGCATAGAGTTTTGGGCTTTATCCAGATTTGTTTCAGAGTTAAATGTGCATAGGAATAACGTGGAAAAATAACACTTTCTCATTTTAAGATTCTCATTTAACATTTTTGGTAACTATATCCCCCATCAGTCCTTCAGACTGGTACTGTACCATAAGATGCTTGATTCTTACTTGAATTCATTTCTCTTTCTAGCTGTGTTTAAAGATCGGATAATGGGGTACTCCTTCAGTACTTTAAAAATGCACATACTCCTCTTCTGCATTTCTAGCAGTTCTACCAAAGAAATGAATATATTGAGGAAAGCAGCAAGCACCTGTCACGTGTGACTTCTGTCAGTCCCTCTCCAGACAGGCACGTTAATCTTGTGCCTCTTCCTGACATTTAGACAACTTTATCTCAGGCCGTGGACAGCTTTTTAACGTAAAGTGACGCCCAGTTTGTGGGTAGCCAGGTTAAAGAAAAAAAGAAGTCAAATATTTGTTTCAGCCCACGTCACCTAGGAGATGCACCTCCCTATTACAAACGAACTTCCTAACATTTTCTTACCAGTGCATTTCAACTGCATTGATTTTTCCAGCTATGCAGTAATATTTGCCATGTGTAGAAAAAGCATAGCAAAAATAAAACAACCCTAAAAATGTGTCTTAATGAATTTGTGCTTTACCGCAGCATCACACTTGAATTAATATGAAATATAAAAAGTATGCGAATTACACACAAAAAAACTGTTTACTCAAGGTGGTAACTTCATGCACAATGTGCAATACATATCACTAAAATACTACTGTTAATTCATACATTTCATACACCAATTGAAACTATTTCCACATATTTTCAAGTCTTACAACTTAAAGTCGAAGGAAGTGGTTGTGCTGATTTTAATGGATTGCGGTCTTAAAAAGTAGGTTCTCATAATTGCCAAGTTAAAAATGTTTGAATCCGCAGCCTCCCCCTTCCTCCCCCTTCCCCCCCCCCAAAAAAAAAAAAAGTAAGATAAAATTTATTTTAATTGCATGTTGGCCTTAACAGAAGGAAAGAATGCATTTTCTATCAATTTATATTCTAGTTCAGAATGTAATCTGTATTTTGACATAACTACAGGTGCCGTTTTTTCTGCAGTGAAGTACATTGTATTAATGATCGTCTGCCTTTAACCAAATATTGATAAGTGAATTATTCATAATTGATGCCATTATCCAAAGAAAATGTTGGTGAGTTTGAATTAAATTGAAATAATTTTATTTTTTGTGGTCAGCCTATTGGTAGTGGCTTATTATTGGATGGACATTTCCTCTGCTAATGGAAATAAAGTTCCAGAAAGAGACTTAGAGGGAAGGGGTTAAAATTTAATCTAAGGAATTGTTAGTACAATGTTCATTTTGAATACAGATACATATATATATATCTGCTCCATCAGCCCCTCTCACAATGAAGCAAAGTGATGAAATGCAGCAGAAGAGCACATTTCAGTTTAACTATTTGAGCCGATCTAAGTTCTGTCACTTATGCAAATTTATTCACAGCAGTAGAAATTTGTACTGTAAGCACTGCATAGTGTGGGCTTTGATCAACTGGCAATTTGAGTCCACAAGTTAGGATTTGTTTCCCTGCTGCAGGCAGACCTTGCTTTGAAGCAAAGAAGTGCTGTCGGGGTGAAGTACCCTTTGCATTCATTAGAGAAATAGTAGTAAGATTTTCCTCAAAACACTAAATTGGTACCCCCAGTTCTGTGTTCTCTACATTGAATTTTTTGAAATTTGAATGTTGCACTGTAGAATGGCTTTCTGTTGTTTATAACAGAAGAGTAACATTAAAGGTAAATTGTACTGGTATTTATGTGTATCACACAACTTTCTTTTGATGCTTATATAATCACTTTCTATTTCTGTAACCTGAATTTGTATTTAATTTTCCTGAGGGAAGGAGGAGTGTTTGAATGTATAGGAGATCCAGACATCCTGCTACTTAGCAAGAAAAGCTTTTATGTTAAGCAATGTTAAGGAAATCTTCAGAATATTGAGAAGCAATTAAAAGAAATTTTACTATATTCCTTTTGACAGAAGTGTTAAATAGATTTCATTTTGTAAAAACATGTGTTTAATCAAAACCAGATGACTGAAAACATTTGCATTGAGCAATCTGTGGAAGTGAATTTGTACACCGCAGCTACGGCAGGGGTATCTCCCCACGTCGGGCTTTATGCTGTGTTGCCATATCCAATACAGAAACAACTCCTTCGCCCAAGGAGTGTTAGCGTTCTCCTTGGAGCCTTCCTCATGCTTCCAAGTAAACCTGATCTTACTTTGATCTTAGACATTCTTCACCTCCAGAATGCACAGCATTCGGTAAGGAGTCCTGAAGAGGCGTGGGGTAGTTTCCTTAATCTGCTCGCTGCTCATTCGTAACAAGTTTTTCGATAGCCTAAGTTGGCAGCTGTGAGTTTTAGTGCAGGAGCTGTGGTACAGAAACAAAGCCAAAGATGTCAGACATAATGATGGCATAAGGAATTTCCAGCATCCACGATGTTCAGGGTCACTTTGTCATTAACGTCAGCAGACTGTTCAGTCCACCAAGGACACTGAAAGTTTGTAATGCTGCTGGTTTCACGTTCACATTTCAGTTTAAATTGCTGACAGCCAAAACCAGCTTCTTTTCATGTATTCCTGCCAACAACTTAGAAGGAAATCTTGTCAGGACCCCTCTAAAAATGCAAATGTTCTGGGACAAAGGAGTACCATAAGATTCAAGTAATAAGGCTCCATCAGTGTAACCTCAATAAATAACCTATTTGTTCGTTTAACTCTTTATAATGGATAGAACCAAGCATTCAGTTGTACCCTGGGTCTTACTGTGGATTCATGGGTAGGGCTTGGGGGGTTCTGGTACAGAATACTCTAGCTAGCAAAACCTTTCAGCATTAGCTGTTTTTGTTTCATTAGTCCTCAGAGAGACAGGTCTCTTTCTACTTCTAGACACACGTTGAGGTGAAAGTTTGAATGATTTGCAAGTATGTTTGGGTGGAGGTTTTGTATGTCTTGTGCATCAAATGCGAATAAGCAACTAAATGCTTGCTACAACTTCATACCATAAAAATGTATGCACATAATTTGTACATTACTTCCCCACAGTAAGAACAATTCAACATGCTCTTACATCCTAGCTATCTGTTGGGCAATAACGTAGATCCATCTCACAGCAAACCACCACAGACTGCCCTTATATCCGCGTGGGGCCAGCCAGGCTGTGCAGTGGTGCGCAGATCACCGTGGAGCTCTTCCCACAAGAGACTTCTACTGGCGTACAGGGTTGCACTTCTCATGCCACGGTTTGCCCTAACCCGGTGGCAGCTGACTGAAATGGGAGCAGAGGCAGGTAGCTCTGCTGCGGGCAAGGTGAGATGAATCCCACGTTCCCCTTTAGGTACCTTCTAACTCTTCTACGATGCCAGCACAGAAGCTGCAGTAGGCCTGGTGACCGTTTGTCTCAGCAGTGGGCAGAAGGGCAGGTGCGTGCTTGTCCAGAAAGTTATGTTCAACACTTGAGAGTGAGAAGTGAGGACGGTGGAGGAGGATAAAGGCCAGAAATTTATTTGTTTGTGGTTTGAACAGGAAAACACTGATGAAAAGCCAGAACACAAAACACCAAAGGCAGAGTTGCTTTGCACTGTTTTTTTCTCCATCCAGTTGTTCTACCCCTCCAGCTTGCAGAAGCACTGCCCTTCCAGTCAGCCTGCTTGCATTGCCACACGGAGTGCACGTGCCCTGGGCCTCCGTGAAGGATCGCAGAAACACTCGGGTTGGAAAAGACCTCCAGGACCACCTTGCCTGACCTTTACCCTAGCACTGAGCAGCCCAGTGCTACACCATGTCCCTGAGCAACGAACGGATGAGAGGTTTCAAGTGCAGAGATGAGGGTGAGTTACATGATCACAGCTGAACGCTCTGCTGCTGAGCTGCTGATGGCACCTGACACCGACGGTGCAGGGGAAGCATCTCAAAAGCAGCAGTATTGATCGAGGTAGAGAACAGGCTATTTCCCTGGCACCGATGACGTTTCCTTAGGCAAGGATATCATGCCAGTTTCCCTGGCAGAAGTTACTTTATTGATGGAGATAAAAGCTTTAGTTTTCAGCTCAGATTCCAGCCAGTATGGCAAACTGCCATCATTACTTCTAGAGAGGTAACGAGCACAGATTTACTTTGGGTAATGAGAACAGCTTCTACTAAAATCTCTGAAATATATCCAGACTTGAAAAAATGTGGCAGAATAATTTGTATGTAAGACGTTGTTTGGAAACACTCTCCTATCATGTTTGCAAAGGGAATTTGGTATTTCTGCTTCCTTCTGTCCCAAAGAAACCCATACTTGCTGGCATTTGGGGAATAAATTAATGGCCTACTTAAAGGAGAAGGAGATGACTTGCAGAGGTACACAGAGGAGAAAGTGTTTTACCAAGCTCTTTGTTTATCACCTGCTTGGCCTGGTTTTCTGTTGTGCCATGAGAGTGGCTGTGAGGTTTGTTGTGTTACTCAGGCCTTCTGGAGGAGGTAGCTGCTAGGCTTTCAGAATCAAAACAGGGAACAGAAGTGTCCTGTGACATGCACGAAATACATTTTAATGCTATTAGGTGTTACATTCCTTCGCAACTTATCAAAGCAAAACTTCTTGCCTGACACTTGTTTTGTTCCCTCTACTATTCCTATCTCCACAAGTCACCTGCTGGTAACATTTAGCACAGATACCTTTATCTCACAAGTAAGTAAGTGTAACTCTTTGTAAGTGTTGCTTAATCTCACTACATCCTTAATTAAGCCTGTGTATATATATATATATATGTATATGTATATATATAAAACAACAAGAAACAAAACAAAACAAAACCCAAACAGGGAAGCTGGGCCAGATAAGTGTGTTCAAAGAGAAATTCTTCAAAGCTGAAGAAGTAGAGCTGATTGGGGAATGCTGGGATGAAATGTAGTTTTTCAAGAAAAAGACAGCTCACAGAGGAGCTTGTTTCAAACCTGGCAATTTCTAGCAGAGAATTTCATAAAAAAGACATAGCAGTCATGTCCAGCTAGCTGGCCTGAAATGATGAAGCAGTTTGGGTTTTAGAACTACAGAAAGAGAGCAGGTTATTGCAAACCACTTTCCAAAGCCAGCAAACAGGCTTTGGAATAGCGATGAGGAACTAAGGCGATAAATTCACTTGCCAAAGTAAACCTCCTTCCTGCCCCAAGTGCAAACGTACAACGGCGTTGTTCCATCCAAGTGTCTGAGGGGCTGGAAACCATCGGGTAATTGGAGAAGAGGGAGCAAAAGGACTGTGGTGGTGAGCAGGGCTCCCGGCAGAGCCCACAGCCCGTACCCGCTGCACGGCCCTGTCCTTGCCCTGGCGTTACGCCAGGGGTGGGCTGGAGCCCGCGGCCAGGGGTGCCTGAGGGCAGAGACGCAGTGCGGGGCAGTGTTTGCTTGCCCGACTTCCAGTGGTCAGCATAACCTGGGAGAGGTTTCAGTGCAAAGTTGATGGTGTGTCTTTCCAATTCGGGGGTCAAATTGTATTCTGCCAGCCCTGTGCAGCCCCAAGTAGTTATCTGGGAGATGGGTTTGCTTCGCTGTGCCCATTTAACAGCATCACCTTTGTTGTAAGTGAGGAATATGTGGTGGTGGTGGCCACGTTTCTTTAAGTGAAATGCAAAAAAAAAAAAAAAAAAAAAAACAAATCCAGCAAACAAGACACAAAACTCTTCCTGGTATTAGTGAGTAAGAACTGCAGAAGCAGGTGTATCATTAACAACATCCTTATTAATAATGTATTTGTTCTGGGTAGTGCAGGAAGGTTTCAATCACTCATCTGTTGTGTAACTAATCCCTTACCAAGGAGTCTCCAATCTAAATAGTCTGTTTTACATCTTGTAGGTAATATTTAACTATAAAAATGTAAATGAAAAGAGAGGCAATGGTCCTGGTCTTGTTTTGCTTCAGGTAATAGACTTGCAAATTATAAATTATATTTTTTTTTCAAAATGTTGGCATTTTCCATTTCTCTTGGATTTGTGAAACTCATGCACCTGGTCATCCAGAAAGAGAGCTGCCAAACCTGCCCCACACAATTGATTTTTTTTCTTAATTTCTCTTAAAAAAAATAAAAATCTTAAGTAGAGTTTTGCACCAAAGTTTTTTGTGCCCTTTATAAGAAGGGGAACTTCAAATCAAAAAATGCAGGGCAAGCCGGTGTTTTGGATGAAGGCTCCTCACTCGGTGGGTTTTCCCCATCTCCACCAAGCTGCCTGGCAGCTCTGATGCAGGATAAGCATTGTGAGGAAATTCATGCACGGACCTGGGGTAAAAACACAGCACTCTGTCTCGTGCTCTGCACAGAGCCGCGATCAGGGCCCCGGCACCCTTCAGAAAGGGGAGGTCCTTCACCAAAGTGACCCTCTCCTGTCTGAGCTCTGGCTGTGAGAAGCATAAACGAAGTCGTGAAGCTCTTTTTCCTCTTCTCCAGCTTCCATACTTACGCTGAGCATAGGTAAAGTGTGCATTTGATCCTGTGGATGCATAACCAAGCACACCACGCCACGGCCTCAGAGCTGCGAGGGACTCTGTTACCTGGCAGGCAGGAGACCACGAGAGGCAGCCCGAAATCCTTGGCGCCAGCTCAGTAACGAAGATGTAACGTGGGCGTGATGGCTTACAAGGCAAAATTTAATTTCCCGGTACAACCAGTGGCTGCAAGAGATCATAGTTCAGGGTTGATAGTGACTTCACAAGCCATGCTAACAGTCAGTGAATTTGGGTTAGGAAAGAGGGAAAATCACGTTTATTCCCCGTAAAATTGTTGCAAGTCTGTTGATCCTCACGCTTTGATGCAACGTCTGTCGTGCACTCCTCTCAGCCCCTGTTAGTATAACCTCGTGCCGTGGCTGTGTTTGCGTTTGCCCCTGCGTAAGTCTCCTGTGACCATAAACATGTTTTTAGCCAACAAGTAAGACCAGAACACCTGTATTTATTTATGTTTGTGGAAAAGAGCAACAACCTTTTCTTTAAAACTTGATTTGATTATTTTCCATTGAACATTTGTCATTTGTGTTATGCCCCTACACATACAACGTTGGGGTTTAAAAGATAGGGGCATGCAGGTAGATTAGGGAAATCCAGGTAGACTGAAAACCAGTCTCAAGCTCCTTCAGGCTCAGGAGAAGTAGGTTAGAAAAAAAGCATCATGCTGAACCAGACCGCTGGTCAGATATTGTCTCTACAAGCAAGCATTTTCACCGATGGTGTGTTTGCGAGCAGTCCCTCCCACAGTCTGTTTTTTGCATTTCGGAATCCAAATTAACAGGCTAATTGTCTCATCAAAAAGCCAGTTAAGGCCTACAATGAAAAACATGCCAACAAAACTTAGGAACACCTGGTCTTTGGTACTCAGCCTTGTCATGAGAAGCCCTTTGGGAAACAGAGTTGGGAAAAGCGTGTGGACAACAGATGTAAACTTCGCATTTTGGGCTTGGTTTGGGAGAATGACTAAGCTATGTAGCCAATAAAATCTTTTAAAAAAAGAACCTTTATAGGAAAGCACACAGAATTATTGGTTCTATCAAGAAACACAAATACCAATATTCTTATTTCCCACTTTATATCTCAGCATCAGGTTGTCACCTGAATAAAGCAGCAGCCAGCCATGGAAAACCTCCGCTGTCTGTTCTTCTTAGTGCATGCGGGGCCTCTCAGAGCCTCTCTCACATGGTCTTCCTCTGCAGTAAGACTGGCTTGTAACGGGCAGAGAGGTTGAGAGGGGAAGTGTTGTAGCTGCTAGCTACAACAGGGACTTCACAACTTCCACACCTTCCTAAGGACTTACTTTGCACTTTTTTTTTGTTTGTTTTTCCCCTGACCTGGGAGATTAATAATATCCTCTGTTTCTCCCTCTGTCCATTTTTCCAGTGAAATAGGTCATTTGTCTCAACCACCATAACAGGATGTCAACTTCTAAAGTCACATTGGAGATATGGAAAGGCTTTAATTTGGACATCCCAGGCGATGTAAACACTCTGCTGGCAGCCAAGCCAGTCCACTGACAACGATGGACTGAATTTAGGACTCTGGCAGACCTAAAGAAAGTTTGTGAGGTGAATCCTGGGCTCTGCTCATGCTTTTTCCATGCTGTTTCCATTGGAGAAGAGAGATGCTACCACAGTAAGAGCTAAAATCCAGTAAAGGCACCTGCAGGTAAATGCCTGGCTGTTGCAGAGTATCTGTGGGGTCAGCTGCTTCAGATGCAATAGCTGTAAAGGACATTTTATTGAAACAGACAGTAGAAAAAAGGAGGCGTTTCTCTGCACTTTTGGCACTGGAAACAGAGCTGGCACCACACCTTCGTCTTCCTGGTGTGGAGAGCCTGAAGCCTGCTCCCCAGCACAAAAGCCTGCATTATTCCACTGAGCTCTGCTTCCACCCCAGTCTACAATAAACTACTGCTCAGGAGGCCGCTAAGAGAGCAGGGGATCCAGGCTCAGGCCCTCACCCCTAGGTGCCAGGCAGTGGCAGAGGCTGGGACAAGTGCCCTCATCTCCCCCCACCGGGGCTGCAACTCCTGCATGGGGTCCTGAGCCCCAGCAGGGCAGTGAGAAGGAGCCACGGCAGCATGCAGGGACATCGGCCTGCGGGGAGGGACTGGGTGCTCCAGTGCCTCCTCGAGGTGCTTCTCTTTTCCTTCTGTCTGTGTGAGGCATGGTTTAGAATAGGGGCTGTCTGAAGAGATCGTGGTTTGGGATTTTGTTACCTACACAAGCAATTGGAGATCTCTCTAGGAAGTCCAAAGTATGATTGTAAATTGTGTTCTCTGTTCATTCACAATTTAAGCCCTTCTAGGAAAAAAAAATAGTTACTGCAAGTTGATTATTGTGAGCCTCATCAGAGTAATAGGAAGCACTGAAGTAACAGAGTCTAAGTCCATTACTTCTACCAGTAAGCCGAGAGCAAAGGCTCAAGTTAAATCTTGCTGAAGACAGCAATGGTCCAAAGTTGTTTTAACATGATTTATCCTGATTTAACAAACGGAATTGGAGGTTTTGTTCTTTGCCAGTAATCAGCACTTCTGTTGGAAGTCCGGCTTCAGAGACTGGAGGCTGTCAGGCCTCGGTGCCCTGGTGCACGCTGCACAGGACTTCTCGGATTGGGGTGCAGGTACACGGGCAGGGCAGAAGCATGTGTCTGCTGTTCCCTGTGCCGTACCTTTCACTGCAGAAAGCTGTTCAAGGGCAAGCAGGGGGTTAAAGAAGGGCAGTCTACTCCTGCCTGTGCCTCTGTAATTGAAGAAAGGTGTGAGACACCTTACAGTGCATTTTAGCATGGAGAAAGTTGCAGTCCTCTGCTCCAAAAATTCAAGGCTTTGCTCTCAGACGTAGCTTTTCCAGTATTCAAAGTAGAACAAGTTCAAGACAGAAGTTTAAAAATGAGTAGAGCAAGAATTTGCTTTGTTTCCCAGGGCAGAGGAATGACTGCCTTCTCATTTGCAATTCTTCTGCCTGTAGGTTAGAGCTTTCATTTGAGGTTTGAATTCAGTCCAGGTGAATATGTCAATAAAAGCCTTCACGTTCCTCCAGCCGTAATTGCAACTAATGCCATTGTCAACTATGTCAGTGCAATTCTGGGAAAAGAATTTCTGGCTACCTTGTTCTTTCTCTGTATGCTGGATGGCTGCCTGTGTGTTTAAGTGGAGTCATAGCACAATATTTGCCATTGTTTCCTGGCTTTATTTTTATTTTGAATTTCTCAATGTCATAAAATGGAGTTATTTTCTCAGTTTACATTTTGCCCTATTCTAATAGGTGTAACATTCTAAATTGTTGGCACATTACACAGCCTCTATAAAGTGGAAATCATGTTCCGGGTCTGCCATAATCATCGTTTCCTTGCTGTACTTTCCCATTGAACTGAACATGCATTCATTTTGTTCTGGAGCTGTAAATGTCACTGTGAACTCTGAAGGCACAGAAGATGTAAAACTTGAGCTAAAATTGAGTAATCTGACTGCAGAAGTGAGTTGCATTCAGCATGCCATAGCATTTTGTCAGCAGCAGGGAAATGAATGCCTGCAGGTATTCGCGTTTGTTCAGTTTGTGTGACACAGGATATGTGTGTGTGTCTGAGCAGCCACCTGGGAACACTCTGCATTTCTCGCACGGGGTGCTTTGGTTTTTCTCCCACCCCATCGCTGCTCCAGCTCGGCATGCTCTACACTCTTGCTGGACTGAAAATTTTGCGGTCTGCACCAGGTGTTTAAAACTGTATCTGGAGAGCCTGTGTGAAGCTTTTGTCAGAGCAAAATACTTGGTGTCAGTACCCTCATGGACACAAAGCACCCAGTTTTGAGGAGACAAAACCCCATTAGTACTGACGGAAGCCATTTCTTTAGTTCTTCAGTAACACCTGTTTTATTCAGCCTATTCCTCTTTGTGCTACGTCAAAGTACGTTAACACTGCTAATAGTCTTGTCCTTACCTAGGTTCATATTAATTAAGGTGCTGCGAGCTGTCTTAGCTTTGCTAGTGGCAGTTTAGACTTTTTAACAGATTTTTCACTGTAATTAAATGCCAGTAATGAGTCAGCTTGTTGATTTCAACACAAACGACTTCCCCGAAATCATACGTGAAGTGGCACACATTATCTTCTCCTCTTAACACAGTAGAGCCTCATTTGAATGTGTAGTACTCTGCAGGTGCCTTATTCTCTTATCCTGGTAGATAACAGTGTCAAGCAGGAACCAAGAGCTATGAAGTAAAGCTGTAACAGCCGGTCAGTTTGATCGCACGATAGTAATTTATTATGAGGCTGAACTGTAAAACTGGTGTCGGGACAGTGCAAGCATAGATTAAAGTCACTGAGGCTAGCAATTTCTTATATCTTGTGCTCTGGAAATTTAGGAATGGTAAGAACTGTTGTAATGAGCCAGAGCAAAGGTGAGCCTGGCTGAAGAGTCCATGGACTTCTTGAGCTGATTCTTCTAGCTCGGTCTTAGAAAAAGTCCCAGCAGACAGCCTGCGTGGCACTGGCAGTGGTGGAGGGTAGCAAAATATGGAAACCACCTGCTGCTGGTGCACTCTCTCAGCTCAGGGAGACACCACACGGTAATCTTTCCAGGCATTAGAAAATGTGAACCTGTGACCTATGTCATCTGTAGCAGGAAATTTCAGTTGTTATTTTCCCCAGAGTTTTTCCCCTGCATGAATCAGGAAAACCTTCTTTGATGCCACTCACAGAATTACAGATATTATCAGCCTCCAAATACAAAACTTTACTTTTTTTTTTTCCCATGGAGAGCCATACATTTGTTCAGATTGAGTGTTCCTCTAATGTCACAGAGAATTATTGACATGGCTGCAAAAATGAGAGTTATGAGAAAATGGAGGGCGATACACCAGGTATACCATTCCCAGCTGTCATTTGCCAAAAAAACGTTCCTGTCTCTTTCACAAACAGCATGGCTGCCGCCCTACCAGCAGGTTGGAAGGGGGCTAAGGCATGCTGAACAGCACGGCCCTTGTTTAGGGTCTCTCACCAGCTGAAAACACGAGACTCGAACACAAAGCTGGTGCATGGCAAGCGGCTCTGTGGGGCTGAGCCTGTTTACAGTGCAGTGGGTTTGGCCTGTGTGGTCGCGTGTTTAGCTTTCACACAAAGGCAATATCTAATAACAAAGGTGTTTTTTTTTTTTTTTGTCCTCCTGATTTAATCCTGCAAATGTTTGTTTCCGAGGCATTTCTATAAGCAGCACTTCTACTTTTGAAAAGCCTCCTCAGCGAGGAGGGCTCGGGGGATGCAGCGGTGAGGCAGAGCGGCCTCAGTGCTGCCACATACGCAGAGCCTCCTCTCCCACCTGTCCAAGGCTTCCCCGTGTAAGCAGGGAAGAAGGGGTAAGAAGAGGAGGCCAGCTGAAGCCCGCTGTGCTGCACAGGACTGAGCCGACTTCGAGCTGCTGCCCAGGGTGGGGCTTGCGATCACGTTCTTCCCCAGCAGCCGGGAGGTCGGGCCACACGATATTTCCTGTAACTCGCTGCTGGCTCCCTCAGCGCACCCCGGCTCCTGGGAGGAATGGATGTGAACTTAGTCACCGTTCTTGCTCTCCTAACAGTCGCGGTTAGTCGGACGTCTGAGAGTAAGTACAACTGTGCTCTATCTGTTTCTATGTTTTAATTGCCTAAAAGTAAAAGGAAAAAGAAAAAAAAAAAATCCCAAGGTGTGTCTACCTAGAATTGTGTCTCCTTAAGTCTCTGCAGCTCTGCAAGGGATCAAAGATGATAGCTTAAAGGTCTGTGCTGTAGCATGGGAAAGTTTTAAAACTGAAAGCTGGCTCTCCTAACCCGCGTAGAACAACTGGAGTTTGTTTCCCTGGAATAAGTTTCACCTGAGCATTCCTTCGTGTTCCCTTAACAGATGTGGGGACTTTGTCATTCTGCAAAATGGCTTAAACGAGGAAAAGCCGTGTGGGTAATCTGTCATAGCAAATACTGTCAGGAACACTGCAGCTGAGAAATTTTCATTGCTGAAGGTGTAAGACCGTTAAAGCAGTAATTTCCGACAGAACACATAATAAAATTTTACTGTTTGTTTAAAGGGATCTCTCCAGTTCAGCTGTGATTTCCTACTTTCTGAGCTTCTGGAGAGGCAATATGCTAGAAAATCACTTGTTCTTTTTCCTTTTATGTTCACATGTCCTTGGTGGCAAAGATTTCAAAATGCTTGTTAAGACTTACTTCACATAACCAATTTCTCATACGCAGAGAAGAGGTTTTCACAGCTTTGCTTTGCATTCACTGCGCATCTCAAAGATCCATGAGATCTCCTAATGCTTGCTCTTTTCTTCCTGTATTTCCATCAAAATAACTTTCCAAACAGATTAGCCAGTGCTGTGCTTGAATTCATACTTTTCCTTTGTAATTTGCTACTGTAAAATAAGCTGTGTTCTCAGAGAAGATGACTCAAATTCTGGAGAACTTCATCCTTTGCAATTTCTTGCAAATATCACTTGCACTTTCCTAATTTTCCACTGGTTACAGTAGGAGTGGGAAATGCTGAGTTCCCTGGTGATTTAGAGAACACATGGACAAAATGTGCCTTAACGTTTTGTCCCATTAAAATGGCCACTGCACCTGCTGGCCTGAGAAGACTGTGTGAGTTCCTTTCCATTAGATTTATGATCTGGCCAGTCAGCAAGGTCTTGCACAACAGCAATGGCATGTACACACACGCACACAGGTCAAAGTAAAGGTTTTCTTAGCGCTCATTCTGTCACTCTGAACTACCTGGCGCAGGGGAAATACCTTCATCATCTAATTTACCTTACACAAACATGTTCCATGTTTACCAACAACATTCAAACAGCAGAGCCCGCAATAAAAAAGGCAGAACTGCATCTGGTTGTACGGGTATGGGCACGCCCTACCCTCATCTGAACCAGCACTCGGCTTCCGCTGGCCATTATGCATCTGTTCACTTCAGTGGCACGGTACAGAGCCATGAATAAGTTTTGGGCTGCTACATACCGATTTGCAGAAGTTTCCTTTGCTCGTGGCTGTGGATTGGTCGCTGTTGAACGGACGCCAGGTAAGCCATCTGGTGGCCAAATTATACCCAGCCGCAGGCAGGAACGTGTCTGCCAGGCACTGCCAGAAAATGAGCAGAGCAAGACTGTTTTGAAGTGTGGCAGGAAGGGTTTGCTGGAAGGTGTTTTTTTTTTTTTTTGTTTGTTTGTTTTTTCCCCTTAACATCATTTTAAAAAAAAAAGGTCAATTTTGTTTTGGAAAAAAAACACACACATAAACAACAACAACAAAAAAAAACACTATATTCTCCTACCCACTCATTGCTTTCAGCATCATGGCTTTACAGTGCCAAACACTGTCACACCTGCTGTGGCAGTCATGAGAGGCTAAGCAGCAGGTTGGACACGGAACTTATTTCAAAGGTGGTTGATCTGAATTTCAGATTGAGAAGACATTTCTCTTTTGAAAACTCCCACATATATTCAATTTCGAAGATATTTAGACAGAAACTTGATAATTCTTACATAATGAAAGCATCCAAAATGAGTGCTAAATGCTGCAGGGTTGGAATAACAAGTAAATAAGATTGTCTGGGTATTCCTGATGCAGTTAGCTGGAGTTAGTCCAGTCAAGTCATTCTAGTAACGCCAGTCTGGTCAGCATGAGGGTCATCTGTGCAGTGTGGGAGATGGGTTTCTTCTCATTAAACTGCATTTCTTCATAGAAAAGTAAGAGATATATGTTAATACGACAACTTCTTGTTGCATTGCAATGTGCAAGGCATTAAATGTTTTTTTTATTTGCTAAGAAAAGTAGGAATTTCACCTTCTGGTAAGGCACTGGATAATAGTGTTTCTTTGACCACACCAGTATGTGGCCAGAAACATAGTGCTTGCCAATTTTCATCCTGCATCAAGGATGCTGCGTGGGAATAGAAAGCTTGCAAACTGATGGTGATTTGATGGACCAAGACATATTTGCAAATCATGGCCTGCGTGGCACACCCATTTGTCTGTCTCCAGTCAGCCCTCCTGGCTTGAAACTGGCCATATTAACAACAGTCCTCACAGCAGAGCAGACAAGGCATCACTAAATGACTTCATTAATATTTATTCTAGGCCAGAAAATTGTATGTTATGGTTTATATTTTATTAAATATTATTTTCACCACTTCAGCAGATATAGCTTAGAATCCCTTCTAAATCTTTTCTTTGTCTCTTTTTCAGTTCTGTACTTCAGGTTTGTGTATTCTCTTACAATCAGAATAGAAGGAAGGGTTTAATGAGGCACAGTTCAGCATCCGAGTTCCCCTCTCAGTGCCAGCTGTTGAGCAACCTCCGTGTTTTAACAGAGTACAACTACACTGTGTTTGCCAAGGATTCTAGCAACCTGCTTTGTTCACTTGCCAAGCAGGATCAGAGCCTTCCTCATAATGAAATAGTTACTGACCTGCTTTGTGTTAAGCTAGGAAGACATGCTTTAAGGTACTGAACTCTTAAATCAGCCCCAAGTTTGTTTTAGATGAAAGAAACATTTTCTGGCAGCTTCATTAGCAAACGAGTACTAAATGATCTGCCTTACAGAAGTTAGTATAAAGTGTAGGTGTTCTGAGAGAAATCTTCCTTCTGAGGGCAGAGCCTGGATTTTATGGTCATAAAACAACAGCACTGGATTAAGGTGGGAAAATTATCTACAGGAACGGCTGTATTGAGACTAGAGCATTTTAATACTTATCATGGCCTGACTAATCAAGACATTAATCCAGTTAATCAATGCAAGGGCTTTTTGTGCATATGTACAAAGCCTACTTTGTAACCACAGAAGAATTCCATTAGGAAACACTAATGACTGCTGCTGATAATCCCAGCAGTGCCGAAGCTGTGCAATCAGTGCAGGGCTGCATCAACGCATGATGAATTTGAGACACTTTAGCAGCAGATCTCACATTTCGGTTTAGACATGGAAAGAGCCCCAGGTTCCCAGATTTCACCATGCAAGATAAGCTGCCTGTCTGAACACAGGGCATGTTGGGAGAACCTGTTCTGGTTAATAACTGTGTGCACCTTTGCAGGACTCCCTTGGTCTGTGCAAGTGCAACACCTTCCTATCAGGTATTTGAGGTGGGGACCAGAAATGTGTTTCCCACTGTTCCCACCTACAGCCCAGCATTTCTGTTGTGCTTGGTTAAATGAAGCAAAAAGGCGCAGGGGTAGGGAATGCCATGGCTCCATCACTCACTACCTATTTCTGTGTGGCTTCATCTCCTTAACAGGCTGCCCAGGGAGGTTGTGGAGTCTCCTTCTCTGGAGATATTCAAGGCCCGTCTGGACGCCTACCTGGGCAGCCTGCTCTAGGGAATCTGCTTTGGCAGGGGGGTTGGACCCGATAATCTCTTGAGGTCCCTTCCAACCCCTACAGTTCTGTGATTCTGTAATTCCTCTTTTTTTCTCCACCTGGTCCCCTTCAGCTAAAATATGAGACAATGACCTGTCCTGCTGTGATAAATTTCCTACAGAAGAGCCTGGCTGAGCCAATGGCTGCTGTGTTTCTCCTCCCCGGTGTCTACCCACAGGGAAACATTTATGTAGCCCTGCCTGCCTAAAAACTGCAGCCAGAGACCAGCAGAATAACCAGTAGCAGAATCTGCTACTGATGCTGTATTCCGCAGGAGGTCCCTTCACCAGGTACTACAATTTCTTGTAAGTGGGAAAGATCTAGGGTAATCAGCCCAAAACTGGAGAAATGTTCATGGCTGCTCCAGAAAGTGAGCAGGAAGCAGTAACTGCTTTTAAGATTTCTTGCCTGAACTCTAGACAGCATGGCTTTCCTAAACTGCTGTCATATGGCTCTTGGGTTTGAGAATGATGACCAAAGAAAGTAAAGCAGAAATGATGAAAAAAGTTTCTACATACTGAGTTTGGCTGGGTAGAGGATAAGAAATGGAAGCTAAGACAAGGCTGTCCTTTCTCTCCAGTACTTCTGAAGTCGGTAAAGCTATCCATAGCATGTTAAATAAATCCAGCATAATGAAAAGATTAGTAATAGTGTATTCCACAAGCCACAGTGGCAAAGTATGTATCCATAAAGGAGGTCCTTCCTAGGCGTCCTTGAGAGAGAAGGCTGGGTGAGTGAGGGTGTTTTCCAGTTACTCGTTTGCCTGGTGCAAGGGTGCTTAACTTGCTCCAGTGGAATTTTCCACAAGATTTGAAGTATTAGAGGCTACCCCAAAGTAGGACACAAAACATTTAAATAGCAGTGGATCTTTCCTAGGTGAGTGTTACCAAGGAATAAACACCAAAGCGAGTAATATCCCCTGCTGAAATAACAGCAGAGCTGAAATAACAGCAGAGTGATCCCTGAGTGGACCTGTCTCAAGATGATTGCTAAGCTTGTTGATCCTGTCAGCTGCTCCTTCAGTGTCCTCATTAAAGAGGCTCAGTGTCACACAACAGGTCTAAACAGTTTTTGGTAAGCAGCCGTGGATTTCTCATTGTGTCACTGGGCCACTGAGACAAGTGAAATGGGCAGCACTGAAAAAATCTCTTACAGTGACAAAGGGCAATAAAAGACCTGGCCAACATCTGTGTGGAAACACAGTTCTTTTCTTTTAACCACTGTGCTGACCATTGATTAACAACTAACAAGCCTGACCTAATTGCTGAAGCCCAAACATATTTCTGGTATTGGGTTGGGCTGAATTCATTAGCTTTGCTTATTACCACCTAGTGCCTTCCCACTTATGGGATCAGAGCACAGTTATGTTGATAACTCATCCCAGTGCTCCAGAACAACAGGTCCCTTTCCTGGGGCTTGGGGGAGATACAGGAGTTCCTTGACTCACTGCCCTGACTGTTCTTTAATTTCTATTAAACTTAATTTCTATTAAATTCTAATTAATTTCTATTTGCCATATTGTAACTGTACACTCATGTACAGAACAACAATAACATAAAAAATCACATTGTATTTAAAAGTGATGGCTTATTTTTTTGTTGAAGAGCAGTGAAGTTGGTGCAGACTGGAGTTCCTCAGGGTCAATAGCCATACAAGCCTACGAAAGCAAGACTGCCGCCCTAAGCACACGTCTCCAACAAAAAGTTACTAGCAGGTTCTCAGTTTCTGTAAGACAGGGAAATAAGCACCACCTCATTCACGCTCTACTACAAAATTTCAGTCTGTTTTCTGTCCGTGTATTCACCAGTTTCATTGGAGTCTGTTGTGTGTTCTCACATGTTGAGGCATATTTTCTTGCATAGCTGCACGATTTAGAGAGGATTAATGCTCCAATCCAAAGACTGACTGAGCATCAGGTAACTGAATTCATTCTAAAATTGCTAAATTTTAATTAGCAATTAATTTTGTTAATTTTTATTTATTTTCCTCATATGCTTATACAGCTTATACAGCTATAAAAGTACATCAAAAATAATTTATTAATTTTCGGTTATAAAGTGTGCGAAGGACAGTTCAATACAATCCGGATCAAGGGAACAAAGCAAGTGATGCTGGTAAGTCCATGAAGTGAATGTGGGCAAACAATGGTAGCCATGAAGCAGGGAGGACAGCTGCCTCACCCTAAAACCTTCTGTAGTATCTGGTGATTCTGCCCAAGGCTGGTGGTGCTAGCCTTGCAATGCTTTTAGTTTACTAGACCTCAGAGAAGCACAGGACTGGACCTCAGATAACATTCAAGATACGATTGCCCTTCCCTGAGCTTTTTTTCCTATGTAATTTTTCTGCAAGGAACCAACTGGCAACAATGAACACTCATACTTCAGTCACTAACAGTCATAAACCCTTAGAAAAAAATAAACTTAGTGGTGCTCTGTGAGTTGAATTCCCATTTGCAAACATGAATTAATTGGCTTCATGAATAGTATGCTGTTTTCTCTCTTCTCAAGAGAGAAAAGAAAAGGACATCCGGGAAATAATACATGTAACATACAATACTTAATTAATCCTTCTGCACCATACAATTATTTATAGCCTCCTCTCTGGGTTGCCAAGGAGGTGACTATCAGAGCAGCTGGTGCCTTTCACCCTCCTTTCTGACTGTGCAGTCCTAGGTCTCTGTCAGCTACCCCACTGGGTACTAAAACCTCCTGCAAGCTGCAGCAGGTAGCGTGACTGGCCTTCAGTGAATTTTACTATATTGCTAGCTGCTTTAGCTCCCTGCTGCAGCTCTGCCAGCCTTCCCTGTTATTCTAGCTCTCAGAGAGAATTCTTGTGAGAAGCAGGTCACACAGTCTTCATAGGGGAAATTTTGTAAAGAGACTTCTATTTTCTTGTTTACAGCAACCATTGAAAATAGATTCTCTTGCTTATTCTTATCTATTCACTCCAAGGCTGAATGGTTACTTAAGAAACAGCATGACTCTTTTCATGGCCAGGAAAAAAATAAAATCAAATAGGAAGATTCCTTCCTTACCTTACACAGATTGATTCATTGGCTGGGACAGAGAAGTCCTTGTTCTGCTCACTTTGAAGCATGGGTTTGATCCCAAGACTCTCACATTCAAGAAAAATCCCTCAACCACATAGCTCGGCTTGTACTTGAACTCTCGGAGGGAATCCCTTTTAGAAGGTGTACACCTGTGTTAGCAATGAAGAAAAACAAACAGCAATGTGTGACTATTTGTTACAAAAAAATCTTGAGTTAGCATCTGATTTTTAACCTCTACTCTTTTTTTTTTTTTTTTTTTTTTTTAAAGATGGTATTTATCAAGCAGAAAAAAATCTGCAGATCATTCCCTAGCAGAGACACATTCAGTCATGAACCCACAAGCCCCAGGGGAAAAAGACAACACAAAATTCAGCGATAGCATTAATAATTTCAAAGACAAACGATAATGAGGCTGAGTCAAGATAGTCAAGATCTCAGGATGAAAGAGGAGGGTAAAAAGGAAGAATGCAATAAAACATTTTTTGCTGTGAGGGTGGTCAGACGCTGGAAGAGGTTTTCCAGAGAGGTTGTGGAGTGTCCATTTGTGGAGATGCTCAGAGCTCAGTTAGGCACAGCCCTGGGCTATCTGCTCCAGCTGATGCTCCTTCAGCAGGAAAGCTGGGCCAGATGGTCTCAGGAAGACACTCTCAACCTCAACCAGCATGTGACTCTGTGAAGTTAAGCTGTGGGTTGTCCCTTCATGTCTAAGCCATTTCTAACTTTGTTATTACTCTTTTTAGCTTTGTTTCCTGGGGCCTTTAACTGTTGCACGAAAATTTCAGATGAAATTCCCAAAGGAATTCTCCCCAGAGTGGAGAGGTTTGAGATCCAGAAAGCTGATGGCCTGTGTCACCTAGAAGCTGTTATGTAAGAAATGTTTTGGGTGCTTCACTGTGAGAGGGGTACTGTCAAATTGAAACCTGTTAGGCATCATTTTAACAAGTAGAATCTTAGTTTGCTTACAGAAATTCATTGAAACATAAGATTGTGTGTGATCTAAGAATCGTCCATTGTTGTGCTGTTTGAACTTAAGGCTGCTAAAATTGAATTTCCTTTTCAATAAAAATATTGATCTTTATTCAGCCTGCACTAACTTTGACACGTGCTTCATTTTCAGCATTGAAAAAGGACTTAGGCACCATAGGTTCTCTGATTTATTTATTTTTATTATTTTTGTATTACTATTCCTGATCCCCTACAAACCCTGCCTAAACTCAATAGTTGGCTTTACTTTTGCACATAAGCAATTTCAATTATTTTACTTTTTTATTATTATTATTTTGGCTGGTACAATATTACAATGTTTGGGTTAAACTGAAAGTTTTGTATGTAATACTGGAAATTTTTCATTTCTAGATCATTTCCATGATGATCACAATAGTAATAATAAAGTGATCTACATACTTTTTTTTTTTTCAGTAGAAATGTAGGGTTTTGTACAGTGGTTCTGTTCAGAGTGACTGAAGCAGGAAAGTTTTTTCAGACTTTGGAAGACAGTGTAATCATGTAAACCTTTGGTACTAGAAGTTACCATATCTGAAAACAGACAAAAGGAAATGGACATACTATAGAATATAAGATTAAGCATGTTTCATGATGCTTTTGTAGGTGAATGATAAGTATGATATTTATTTATTTATTCTTAATTTTTTTCTTTGATGACTGATTTCTGCTCTGGCAGTCTCTACATAGGAGACAGAAAGTTCTGTGTGAGCCCACAGATTAAAAGAGTTAAAAAATGGATGAAGAAGAAGAAGCACAAGATTGCTGGGAAAAAAACTCATGGGAGAAAACAGAGAAGAAGCAAAAATAATAAAAAAAGCGAGAAGCAGCAGTAACATGATGAAGCAAGTCCCATGATGAAGATACCTGTGGCATACAGCACTCTGAACAGACACCAAACTACATCAATGAAGGATGATTATCGTATTAAAATAGCCTTCCAAATATCTATGTTCTAGAGACAGCAGTGGCAAAAATCATCACATGTATACAACAATGATGCTGGGCCAATTCCCAACAAAATGACTTGATGTTCCTGACAATGTCTTGCAGCACGTGCTGTGCTGTACCTCCTTGATTTATAGGTATACTTAAATCCCCCTCCTTTTAACACTGCTTTCACAGCTACCTCCCTGTGATTTTTATTTAATATGCCAACAATCCTTCTCATTGTTTTATTTATCCCACTTCCAATCTTTGCTCCGTTTCTTCCCAGTTTGCAATCATTTTTGTACAATACCTTTGTGCTGCTGCCTCTTTTGTTTCTACTATTCTAGTCACAAATATGGACTTTTTTCTTTTTTTCCTACGTAATTTTACAGATGCCTTTCCAGATCCTAGTTTAGTTAGTGTTGGCCAAAACCATGGATCTTTTGCCTACTCTAAACACTCTCTGCTGTCAGTGATTATTATCGCTGGAAATACTGAAATACCATTGAACCAAGCCTGGTCATCAGACTCAGCATGTGGTGTCCAAAGCCGTGCAGAAAAGAGTCTTGATTGATGTTTTGCATTTCTTTCTCCCTTCTTCACGGCATTTGATCAATTAGCTCCTCAGAGTTATCTCCTGTATTTGTTTTGTAATTCTTATGTCTAACTATACCGCAGACATGGGAGGATGCAAGGCAGATGACAGTAGGTAGAAGCAGCTGCTTCTGAGTTCCCTAAAGAAAAAGAGGAACATCTGTAGCAAGGCCACTAGAGAACAGGTAGCGCACTCCCACAGACACATAGCTGATGAAAGAAACTCCTTCCAAAGCAGATAAAGGAAAACAAGAAACATAATTGTCATCTCTGATAAGCCAACGGTGCCCTAACAGGGATGAGGCAACACTTCTTCTAGGTTCTAGGGAATACTGCGTGCGCTGCTTACACTGGCACAGCTCCATCCTCTGCCTGCTGCGATGCCATGTCGGAAGCAGGCTGCCACAAGCAGGAGTCGCAGTTATTCTGGCTGGGCATGCACAGGAGCTCTTCCTCCTGACTGCCTTGTACAGCAGTGCATTAGTGTCTGGTGTGTTAGACAGGGTCCAAACCTCATGGGCCCAGGCTAGCAGAGCACCAAGAACACTGAAACACATTACACTGTGCTATTAGCTCCCAGCAGCTCTGTTCACTTTCTTCCTTGTGCTCTGCTATTGATTCCGGATTTTATCTTCATGCCTCCCTCTTGAGTCACAGACATCCAGGTGGGTTTGTGATGGCATCTCAGCTCCTCATAGCTTTCTCACTGATGCAGCCAGCGGCTTTTGAGCCTATGGAGTGTACCCTAAATATTGAGACTGATACAATACTGACTGTACCCTAACTTCCATGCCTATTTTATCGGGGATATTCAACATATTCAGAAAAGCAGCAAAGTGTATTTTTGTAGTTTTTAATAACTGGAATTACTACAATGTTGTAAGACCCAGACGGATCTGCAACTCAAATGCTATTAAAATATTTGCCTTTACTGAACCTACTTTAAAAGAGTGTGATATTTTTGTTTACGTCTTCCAGCTCTTCATACTGTATGTTGTCTCCTATTAGTTTCTCCTGGATCCAGTAGATTAAATTGAAAGATTAGGAGAAGATAGAGGCCATCTATCTCCAGCTGCCAAATGTGTTTTGATTTTGTGTTCCTGTGCATTCTTTTGGGAACTGAATTAGGACCAGAGTCTAGCAGTCGATCTGAAAAAATGTCTTCCCCAGTATTGGTATATCAAGTATCAAAACAGCACTTTGAAGACCTCCTCTGTGGTACAGCTTCATTTATCCCTGAACTCTGACACACAAACACTGAATATAAAAAAGAAAATTCTTCCAGTTTCCAAACCTTCACTTAGGTGACCTCACACACTCTGTACCTGAGCATTATTTTTGACCTTTACTATTTTGTACTTGGCAACAAAATGAAATCAATACTTTTTTTCTGTTATCTCAACATCTTGTTTTGCAGAAAGGATTATTACAGCACATGACTTTGTTTTCAAAAAAAAAAAAAAAGTGATAGCAATGGGTTTAGGCAACCAAAGATGCAGTCAGCTGCTTCTGAAAACCTCACTGAGTGTTTTAGTGACTTAGAAGCCTAGTTTCCATTGAATTCCATCCCAATTTGGCCCATGATTCATTTCACGTTCTTGAAAATTCCAATAAATTTACTCCGTTTCAAGAAACAGCTTTAATATTTGGTTGTTTGATTTATTGTAAGAGTCATCAACTCTTAAAATATTAGCCTAATATGATCATCTCTATCTCTCCAGGAGGCTTTAGAAAAAACAGTCACAGATAGGATTGCCTAAGAACTATGAAACAGAAACAAAGAATTTGTCAGGTCTATTTAGACAAAACCAGAGTCCTAAAGTTGTTACCGTGACTTGAAACCAGAAGTAAAGGAGAATCATCAGACAGCAAACACGTTTCTCTCAAAGCACTTGGTTTAGGAGATTCCACTCACTTCTGCATAAGTGAGAAATGGTAAGAGAGACTCAAATTCAAACTCACCTTCTGTCAAAACGGGCTCAAATGATGCATGGGTTTTATGGGAGGAAAAGGATGTTTGTCCTCTCACCGCCAACGTCTGAGCTTCAAGGTCGTTCTGAATTATTCTGGGTTTCTTCAGTAATTGCATCTTTAGCGAGTGGACCTTTTTTCCCGTTCTCAGGTTACAAGTTCCATGGTTACAGAGGTGCAGCAATCCTTCTGGCACACAAATACACCAAACGCCGTCTCTGTTATGCTGTCCACTGAAAATATCACTGGGCAGATTTGTTAAGTTCTTCAGCTGTGGAAGGGGAACAACATGCACTCTCATAAGACGTGGTGCAAACAGTGGCAATCCCATGTCTGGAGCATGACTCGGTTAAAGGACTATAATCTTAATTACCTAAGATCTGGAACAAGATCCATCAATAAATTTATTGTTATTTACTGCAATCTTTCTGAGAAATCAACATAAACCAATTGTTGTCAATTCCATTGCAACAGCTGTATAGGCAGACCTTTCTTGCAAACAGTATCTATAAGTATTCCCTGACATTACACTCAGTGACAAGAAAATTGGATCTGAAGCCTCTTGAAGCTGAAGAAAAAGACTAATGCTCTTGATAACAATGACAGAAGAAATTGTAGCTACTAATTAGAAGAAATAGTAAATCTTAGGCTACAAAATGCTTCCTAGGGCTTCAAAAACCCTTACTAGGGCTACTAAATTAGTTATTGAAACAGTCAGCAAGAGGAGGTAATCTGAAGTTGATGTAGATTTAAATTAGTATCTGGAGCATCCTTAGAAGACAAATACATCACTTTTTTCAGCATAGGTTAGACACCTGGTCCCTGAACTTAACTCCAAATGATTATGAAAAAAAAAAAACAGGACTGCATTGTGTCTTTAGACTGTTTTAAAATTCAGAAAATCCAGCAACTGGCTGTTACATTTCACCTTCTAGCTTTCCTTCATCAGCTGCAGGGTGTAATCTGTAAATGTGCTTTGATATGGGCACAGTAGGAGAACATGGCTATAATTCTGTTGGCTACAGGTGGTTCATTCATTTGTAGTATTTTTAAATTTTACTATTTTGCACACACATTATTTCAGATTAATAGCAATGATTTCGTGCATGCCTATGCCATACTGTCTTCAACAACATAGAAAGTTAATGAGAAAGGCTGTGGAAAGACTGGAAATGAGGCAGTAAATGTGGATCATCCTTTGGTCAGATATGTGAAGATGTAAAAAAACTCAGAAGATTGCTATTTACATTTGCATAGATTGTTGGGTACATTAGAAAAATAAAATCTGCTTTTACCATTCTGGAAGCAGATAGGACGTTTATCAAAAAGAAAGCGTGATGTGACTGCAGGCAGACAGGTGAGCACAGTCGAGCTGTCAGGGAGCGGCAAGGGCAGGCTGCCGGGTGAGGGCAGGCGAGCCAGGAGCCAAACGTGACACCAAGGCCGGCCGGGCAGTGGCCTTGCTGACAAGGGCACACTCTCACGGCACCCGAACAGGAAAGCAAAGCAGGTCCAGGGTCAGCAGCTGGGGTCAGCAGGGAAAGCTGCCGCAGTGAGGCAGGTCCAAGGCGAAGCTGGGCGTCATGCCCATGGCCAGAAGCATCCCAGGAGGGAGGTGGTCATGTGCACCCACAGAGCTCCCGAGTTGTGAGGCAGCTCTGCAGTTTTGGGGAGGCTTCCTGCTGCTCCCTGCCTCACAGCCCTCCCCGCTGCATCCTACCTGGCTGAGGAGGACACGCTGCATGGCAGCTGGCCACATGGAGACACCAGGGACCCCAGCTTGTAGGGAAGGGGCTGTAAAAGCCCCATGTCCTGCGCTTCCACCCCAACAAATTGAGGACCAGACGGCTTACTTCCTCTCTTCCTGAGCAGGTGCGGCTCTCCACGCCAGCACAAAGTACCACACCGTGAGGAGCCATTCTGGCACATGGTGAGGGCTGGCATTAGGAGCCCATTTCGAAGTCTGGAAGAAGGAGACTTTATTTTTTCCTCTGGTAGGAAGGGCCTGGAGAACAAGTCCTACGAGGAGCGGCTGAGGGAGCTGGGCTTGTTCAGCCTGGAGAAAAGGAGGCTCAGGGGCGACCTTATTGCTCTTTACAGATACCTTAAAGTAGGCTGTAGAGAGGTGGGGGTTGGCCTGTTCTCCCACGTGCCTGGTGACAGGACAAGGGGGAATGGGCTAAAGTTGTGCCAGGGGAGTTTTAGGTTAGATGTTAGGAAGAACTTCTTTACTGAAAGGGTTGTGAGGCATTGGAACAGGCTGCCCAGGGAAGTGGTGGAGTCACCATCCCTGGTAGTCTTCAAAAGACGTTTAGATGTAGAGCTTAGGGATATGGTTTAGTGGGGACTGTTAGTGTTAGGTCAGAGGTTGGACTCGATGATCTTGAGGTCTCTTCCAACCTAGAAATTCTGTGATTCTGTGATTCTGTGAAAAAGAAGGAGGAACTGAAGTTTTAGAGACCTGGGGCAGTTGTTCAACTCTCCCGATGGAGCAGAAAAAAAAATAATTTTTCCATCAGGAAGTCTGTTTGGTCTGCAGGCATGGAAGATGCGATGTGCCCGTAGGATGTAACCATGCCATGGCTTGTTCAGTTTGCATTTTGTCACTGTGTTGTTTCAGGATTACACAGGGAACTGGCTAGCACAGTGCCTGACGTAAGCTTATCAGCAGCGTGCAGAGTTAACAACTGCAAACAAAACTCCCAACATCTCAGTAGCATTTCCCAATTTCATGAAGAGTTCCGTGACAAACCCGTGACTACACACGGCGCTGCGTGATGACAGGCTCAAATCAGAGTGAGCAGGGCAGGAGCTAAGGCTTTCCATGGGAGCTTCCCCCTTCCTTTTGCACTGCTTTCACCAGCTCCCAAGCCCGTAAATAACCTGTTCGTGTTGCCCTGATGCTGTGTGAGGTGAGGGGGGCGTTGTCCCTGCAAGCTGCAGCCACCAGGTGCCACAGGAGCTGCCCAGGGAGGGCACCCCTGCGGCTCTCCTGGCTGTAAAACCAGCCCCGGGACCGGACCACCGAGCCCTCCTGTCCCCCGGGGCTGTGCCCGTGTGAGGTGTGTGGGGTCCGGGTGAGGTGCGCGGGTCCCTGAGGCGACCCCGGCCACACGCCGCAAAATGGCGGCGGGGCCGGGCCGGGCCGGGCCGTGCCGCCCGTTGCTAGGCAACCGGCGGCCTCCTCGCCTCGCCGGGCCCCGGCGGCCGCCCTACTCTCACCCGCGGTCGGCCGCGCGCTCCCATTGGCTGCCCCCGCGCGGCGCTCGGCTCCCATTGCTCCGCCGCCGCCCGTGCCGCGTCCTCATTGGCGCGCCGCCCTCTGGCCACGCCGCGTCACTTTCTCACACCATTCCCCCCCGCCTCCTCCGCCGGCCCCGGCGCTCTCGGTGGGCGGGCCCCGGGGAGGCGGCGGCGCTCGTGATTGGCCGGCGGCAGCTGCCACTCAGCGCGCGGGACGGAGCCCGGGCCGCGGGGCCGTTTAAAGGGGCCGCGCGCCGGCTGCCGCCGTTTCCTCTGGCCGGGCGGGCGGCAGCGGGCACCGGGCAGCGGGTACCGGGCAGCGGCAGCCACAGCCACAGCCATCGCCTCGCGCAGGTGAGCGGCCGTGGGGCCGGGGGGCGGCCGTGCGCGGCCACGGGGCGAGGCGCCGGTACCGGGAGCGCGCGGCCGGTAACGGCCTCACCTCAGGACTCACCTCAGGAGCGGCCGTGCCCGCGGGGACCTGAGGGGAAGGCGCGGGGAGCTGGGGGCCGGCCGCTTCTCACAGGTAACCGGTGATGGGAGCAGAGGGAAGGGGCTCAAGCTGCACTGGGGAGGTTCAGGTTGGAAATAGGAGACATTTGTCCTCAGAAAGAGCAGTCGGGCATCAAAATGGGTTGCCCAGGGAGGTGGCGGGGTCACCGTCCCTGGGGGTGCTGGACGCGGTGCCTGAGGACACGGCTCGGTGGGTGCTGGTGGTGGCAGGGGG